TCTTGCCCAGGTCATTCCCTTCCATATCGAATGACTAGCAAACACCTTATCTAAACCCTAATCCTTGCAATCTGCCTCCCCCCCTTTTAAAGGCCATTCTTGCACAGGGGTGTGACCAAGTTTATTTTCTGTCTTTCCTCTTGTCTTCTGTTGCGTACATATAGAAGAGCACTGACAGAGTCAGGTGAATCATCACTGTGGCAACAAGTCGTAAGACTCATAACTCACTGAGCAATATCACCTACACATCATAGCAGAGGCATGTTTGGGCAAGTTCAGAGTGATGAACAATTGGACCATATAGTCTTACTGAATAGGTACTTTAATCTCATGAAATCACCTTCAAATTAATATGCAACCTAAGGATTTTCAAACGAAATCCAGCTAATGCTGAGGATGCCACCACACTGCCATTTGCACAAGGTGCAAACAATTAAGAACTCGAGGTGATTTCTTCACCACTGTCACCAAATCTGTGCAGTAACTTTTGTTTTGTTTTGCTTTATTTTTACAAAAAAATGGCCTTCTAACTTGGCACCCTAGGTGTTTTGGCACTCTAAATGTTCATTTGTTTGGATGGGCCTTTTGCTAGAACTTTCCTTTGCAAAAACTAGTTTATTCTGTGACTTCAGGTTCCTTTCTTCCCCAGCTCTCGGCTTCCATGGATTTTCTTCTTCAAGTTTATAGGTTTATTTTTGCTTTGATTATTACACCTCTTACTCATATGAGTGCATGTCTTTGAAAACAAACAACTGACTACTCTAATTGAGGTTTATTTACACTTTCACACCCATGTGCAAGAATGGCTTTTTAAAAGGGGCAAATTACAAGGATTAGGTTTTAGACTAGGTGTTTGCTATCCATCCAATAAGATGGGGGAATGACCTGGACGAGGCACATTAGAAAATAATTAAGACATAGACAGTTAGTCACGAAGCCAATAATATGTTGCAAAACCACCACATGCAAAATGAATTTCTCTGAGAGACATTAATTTTTTCTAAACAAGAAAACTATGGTGCTCACCTACAGAGACCAAAAAGAATAAGGCATCTTAGGGTTTGCTTTTTTTTTTTGGTTGACAACCTCTACTATCCATTCATATTTGTTTGCAAGAAAGAAACATCTCATTTCATTCAATTCCATACTTTATAGTGTAGGAAGGCCCACCTCCCCAGAATAAAATATTCCACAGAATAAGAAAAGAAGCAAAATACAATATTTCTCCTAAGGGAGAAAAAATGTCTTAACAAAGGCAGAAAGCAGCCCCAGTCTTTCCTCCACTAAAGCAGCCTTCTGGCAAAGCTTAAAGAAACTAAGTTTCATTCACAAAACAATGTATACATTGCAAAACCAGACATGGCTAAAGGGATCTCCAAACAGGCAGCAGAATAGACTAGGAACTGAAACTGATTAGGCCAATAAGATTAAATCAAGACAACAAAACACCTTAAGATTTGCAACTCCCCTCACTATTTGGGCCAGTCATGCCCCACATATCACAAAAGAAATTTCATAACAGATGTTAAAACACAAACAAGCAAAACAGAAAGTACACATTTTCATACAGATGATGACATATAAATCACACAAGGTCCAAACCACATAAAAACTCACTAACTCACAACCCCAATTTGCTAGCTGCCTCCAGAAACACTTGCTGTTCTCATTGCTTCCCACTATTACTGGGCCAATAAACCTCCTTTCCAATTGCAGCTTGCCTCAAACGTTTTTTTTCCTGCGTCTCTATCCTGACTTGGAATAAGACACAGACTGGATTTAACCTCAGTCAATAGCTTTATATTCAGGTTTCCAAATTACAATTGCTGAATTCACATTAACAAGGTATCCTCACAGAAATAAAATTTCTTTTTTGAACTTTGGGAATAAACCTGGTTCACATAGAATAAGATGTGGAACCACAAATTACCCAGCCATTTCAAACTAGTAAGGTATGGTGTGAACCCAAATAATATTTTTTCTTCGGAGTATTTTTGTCTCACTCTCATTTTCTAAGAAAGAAGCAAAACAAAATGAAATTCCATGTGGAAATACTGAAAAGTTCTTCTGCAGTTGAACCCAGTAGATGGCACTATGTAGCAAATTCTTTTTTTTTAATGTCTGGGAGATTTTCTAGCTAGTCTAATTCTAAATGAATCATTAACAGACTCTGTATGGAGGAATTAAGAATGCTGCTATTTGCCACTTTTCTGAAAACGAGGCATTCAATCAGATATTAACTAAAGAGAGAGAGAGATGAGGTCACTGAATGAATCTCTCTCTCTCTCTCTCTCTCTCCTCAATCTACATATATATTTCTAGCTTTTTACCCATTAGTAATGCTTCATTAATAAAATGGCAAATTCCAGGCAGTCCATGCCAACTTAAGGCAAGACTAGCTCACAATAAAAAATACTGATTCTGTTTATACAGCCACCAAAACAATTAGGTGGACTTTTAAAGATAAACCTGAGAAGAAAGGCAATTAATTCCTCCTTATCTCTGAACAGCTTGAGCTAATTTCAACAGTGCAGGTTCCTTTCTTGGGCTCCATTAATCAAATCATGTGCCAAATCTAAAACAAGCAGGATGATGTAAGTGCCTCTGTTTTATTTTATTCCCATAAAAAGAATCTTGCTTATTAGTTAAAAGCAGTGGTAAAATCCAAATTTTTTTACTACCGATTCTGTGGGCATGGTTTGGTGGGCATGGTGTGGCTTGGTGGGCATGGCAGGGGAAGGATACTGCAAAATCCCCATTCCCTCTCCTCTCCTGGGGGAAGCATATTGCAAAATCTCCATTCCCACCCCACTCTGGGGCCAGCCAGAGGTGGTATTTGCTGGTTCTCTGAACTACTCAAAATTTCCACTGCTGGTTTTCCGAACTGCTCAAAATTTCTGCTACTAGTTCTCCAGAACCTATCAGAACCTGCTGGATTTCACCCCTGGTTAAAAGTATGATCTTCTGATATGTTTTTAGCACAAAGTGCCATTGTATGACTGATGATGCAAAAACTCAAACCTGTCAACTGAGATGAAAAACAGATTGAAATATTTGTGGATGATGAAGACGGAGTCTGGGGATATTTGCAGAGCTATTTCTCATTACAACACAGTAATAAGAGAAAGACTTAAGTTAATGCTAGAATATGACCTTTATGAGGGTTAGTGATGGATGGGCATTTTTCCTGCATGAAGTGTATTGTCCTCCCCCTCCACCCCCCATCAGGATGTAGCTTTCATCAGACACAGCTAGTAACTGTTTTATTTAGTCATTTCAGGTATTCTATCTAATGCCTATTCTCTCTGAGACAATAGTTCCTCATGTAGTAATCAAAGGTTTTCTTTGTTTGTTTCTTCCTGCTTGGAACTACCAATCTTGAAGTCAGGATTTCCATTCCCATACAAGAAAAATTAAAGGAACAATTGCCCTAAGTTGCAACAGAAGCCATCATTGCCCACATGTTAGAGTAGCCACTTTGCCAGCTTCCTTCTGAAAGTGAGGGAAGAGGATAATTTGCCATAGAGGCAGCACTTTTATTAACTTACTTTTATTCTATCTCGGTGATGAGAAAAAAGAACACCTTGGAGTTGCATAGGTAGTCTTAGAGATAGTAAAGTATAGTTTACTGAATCTTCGGGATTCTGATTCTCTGTATTTGAAATTGGAACGCCACCTCCTGAAGTGATCATGAGGAAGATGCAAAAATCTCACCCATTTTTGGTTTCAGATTAATATCTTCCATTATATATATATGTAAGTATCCATTTTCCAAAAGGTTATGAAAATATTATAGGCTAAATTTTTTGTTGGACCAAGAACTACATTATCCTTTGAATAGTATGTTGGGGCTATAGAAGTAATATCTCAACTGATTCACAAGTACATTTGAAGGAAAATTACACAGAAATGAATCCATACAAGTTCTTCCATAATTGCCTACATATACACGAGTCTATAGAGAAGAGGAAGAAGCAGAAAACAAGACGAAATAGTGGTAAAATGGGTTATTTGTTGCTGGCGGTTATGGCAAGTTATGTATCTATATCTAAGGCAGGGGTTCCCAAATTTGGCAATTTTAAGATGTGTGTACCTCAACTCCCAGTATGGCTGACTGGGGAATTCTAAGGCAATCTACTGCCCATTTCAAAAGCAAGCATTTTCATTTATGTCCATAATAGTGATAAAAGTAAATGAAATTCAGTAGTCTGAATTTATTCTATATATTTTCCTATATATTGTTGTTGTTGTTGTTGATGATGATGATGTCATTATTAGATTTTTATCCCACCTTTTTATATATATTTGGTCAACTCAACATGGCAAACATATCTAATACTTCCTATTAACTTCATGTTCTATTCCATCTATATGTATTCATTTATAAATTTCATTTGCACAAATAAATTCATCCAGGCACCCAATGATATTGCTGCGCATGACACGTCAGTACAGTCCTTTATGTTTATTTGACCTTAACTGAAGTTTCTATACTTTATGGGCCTCCTGATAAGGCATTTACCAATACAGAATTACTGTTTAACATACGATTTAGATCTATGACAATGAGAGAAATTGTTAAAGATTGGTGTGTGGGACAGGCAGAAAGGATTATCACATTTCAGAACTGTCAGTTATAATTCTTTTTAATCAAATGGGTAACATAATGCAAATCCTTTGAGCATTCAAACTAGGTCATAATCTCTAACTTCCTCAGTCTATCAGAATCTCTGACGCCTTTCTCAATCATACCTCCTTAACCTGCAATAAACCTGTTGCCATTGGCACCAAATACAATAATTAAGTGTCAAAGGGGCTTTTGAGATAAACCTTCAAATCAACAGATTCTTCCTGGGACCCAGATAGAAATTAAAAACTGCAGGCTGGCCCTTTTGTTCTCTTCTGCTTGGCATTGTTTTATGTTTATGCTGTTTATCACTTCCCATTCAAAACATATACCAAAGTATTTGAAACTAAACAATAAGCATTAGGAACAGCCATATTTTAACTCAGTTTTTATTTACTTATTTAAAACATTTACAGGTAATCCCTGATTTACAACAGTTCATTTAATGACTGAAATTACAATGGCACTGAAAAAAAGTGATTTATGACTGTTTTCACACTTATGACCATTGCAGCATCCCCATGGTCACGTGATTAGAATACATTTGCTTCGCAGTTGACTCATATTTATGATGATTGCAGTGCCCTGCGATCATGTGATCCCCTTTTGCAGCATTCTGCCAAGCAAACTTAATGGGAAGCCAGATTCTCTGAAAGCAATACCATTCCAGTGGTGGGTTGCTACCGGTTCGCCACGGATCAAGCGAACCGACAGTGGCAGGAGGCTCTGCCCACCCACCCACCTGGACGTCTCTGCGCATCTGCAGAAGTGGCGTGCGCATGTGTGAGCGCACCCACGAGCGAATTGGTAGAGACCGAAATTGAATCCCAGTACTGTACCACTCAGCTCCGGGTATCTTTTATCACTGTATTGTTTGACTAAGGATTAAGATTAACATTTGACTAAGGATTAACATTTGACTAAGGATATTTCATACGTCACCAAAAGAGGACCTTGGAGAATATGGCACAATTGTATTCTATATGCTTATTATGCGCATATCAGAAATGCGCATAACAAGAAATCAGAAATGATAGCCAAATTATTGTGAGCATTAGATAGGGATAACTGCATTAAAAAAACCCAGATTGCTGCTTGTATTAATTAAATTTCAAGAAGAGCCTGAAAAGAAGGGCCATATTACATTTTATCTCATGTAACATTTTACTTTTTCATAGGAAATCACAAATGCAATTCCACATCAAACATATATTAATACATTTGTTCAAATTTCACTATTCATTTCAAGCCATACCATAAAGATATTTATCTGTTCAAAAGCATACCATAGTTTGAAGAACATCTCTGCTACCTAGGAATAGCCACTTTCCTCAGATAATGGCCTAAACATAAAATAGCATTAAAGTCCTATTAGAATAATGAATGCATGCCTTTGTAACAATTGGCAAAAGGCTGTTATTTTGTGCATCGTACATGAATAGTACACTTTTCATCAACTTTCTGCTGGTTAATATTTTGGGCTAGAACTCTCACAATTAAAAGTCATAGTACACGTTTCATGCTGGCTAGAAATTATGAGAGTTGAAATTTGAAAAATTTGACAAATTTGAAGGTCCCAGTTTGGGGAACAGCATAACATCATGTGAACTGCTCTTTCTAAGCCTCATTTGCCATTTACACAGAAAAGTAGCTTTTGCCTCCCATCCAGCAATGTTAATCCTTTTTGCTCTGTTCAGTTAATCAGTCCAGAACTGCTGTTCTTCTTCTCTGTTTTTGTCTGCCTCTCTTCAACAACAGAGTTTGACGTTACTTTCCCTTTAAATATTCTGTATTTTTTCTTTTGACTATAAAGCAGGTTTGTCTGGAAGAAGCGTGGAATATTTCCTTGATATACAAAGAGGGCTAACAGCATTCCTGCAGGGGGAAAAACAGCAACAGGAAATTTTCATCTATTTGATTTGCTGTGATTTATGTCAGAAAAGTATCTTTTTCTCTTTTGAGGCAAGAATGAGTAGGAATCAAGAGCAGTAGATGACACAGGTTACAGAACAGTGATGTGCTGAATGATGAACCGGAAGATAACCGAACCTAGTCTGCTGCTCATACAGTGAAAGATGCTATCCTAGCATCATTGCTGAAATAAGATTCAGGTGCTTGCTCAGTTTGTTTCTACACACAGAGTAGGAAGGAGAGTATTTTTTCCACAGACAAAATGTTCCACAGTATCCACAAGTCTTTAAGCCAGACTTGGAAAAAATATAAAACTATTCAGCAGGATCTAGCCAGGGAATGCATCTTTTTTCTTTATGCAAATTTATACAGTCCCCCAACACAGATTCTTCTGAAACCCCAAAGGATTTATTGGAAACAAAAAGGTAGGGGAGAAAATCTGCATGGTTGACCAGGCTTCAAATATTTTTCTCACACTTGCACAAAAGAAGAGCAAGCCCAGAAAAACTCAAGAAAGAAAAATGGATTTTTGTTCTGTTTTTCTCCTGGAAAAAAAAAAATCTGTGTTGCTTTGGTTGTATATTTGAAAGTCTTCCTTTAACAGTATTTTAACAATTAAGAAGCAACAGTATTCAAAAGGATTATGTAAAGAATAATACTCTAATATTTAATTAGCATGTTTCTGCATATCAATGAAAAAAAATGTGATGGTGACCAGGAAATGGAGAAATGGGGAGATGGGGAGAATAGATCAATCTGTGAGTGAATGTGTGTGTCCCCAATTCTGGCAAGGATCCCTGCAGTTAAGTTTTCTTTTAATGTTGATAATTGTGGCTGTCCCATAACTATGCATTTCTATTAGAGGCTTAGGTTTCACCTTTCACAAGATATGCTGCTATAGGTCAGAATTAAGCTTCTGGGTGGTTACAATTTAACTTAAAGTTATATATTTAACTTGTTTAATGCAGTACTTTCAAACAATTCAGGACTGGCTTCCAACTATTGCCAGTACCGCAATAATTTTAATTTGCTCAATATCATCTTATTTTGATTCCAGAATTTTCTCCATATTTTTTGTTATTAAAACATATGCAAATTTATTTCCATAAGGGAAAATGGAACTACCGGTACTTCCTGTTTCCTTGTTAATTAAAATTATTCTTTTCTTTGTTAACCTATATAAGCTTTCCTAGGTAAGTGAATAATTTGTTTTCATGAACCAGCATGGATTTGGTCATTAAGCGAATCTCAGACAGTTGTTAAGCACAACTCTCACCACTCACCTTGCCGGCCAGCCCATTCCTGGGACACTCACGAAATATTTAGGAAATCATCCATTTATCACTGCATCCCTCTCTGCCACAGACCCTGACATCTTATTGTGATGGTGTACCTAGTTAGCCTTGATTGGCAGGAAGAGGAAGAGGGGGAACTGCAGGAGGGCAGGAACCAATTTAGACATGCCTGCTGAGTGCTGGCCAAGGCATATCTGGAGCTGAACTGATAGCCAAAGAGACAGAGGGAAAGGAATGGGGTTGGAAGCTTATCTTGACTGCCTAGAATCCAGGAGCCTGGAGATATTCTCTGGAAATCCCCCTTGCCAGTAATACTGTGTGGGATTGAGGATTCAGCCCTAACACAGCAGAAGAAGTAGCACAGTGGAAGATGCAGATACAGAGTGAGCCACCCTGGTGATCTGGATAGCTGTCTCAGCTGTCAGGAAGCCCAGTGCAGGGCATAAGGCTGGAAGGAGAAAGGTGAGGTCAAGACTGTTGTAGTTTGTTCTGTTCTACTTCAAGCTGCTTTGATGCAGGGAAGCAAGAATACAGAGGAAAGGTGTAGCTCTACACCTAGAAGGGGATAAAATGCAACGTGGTCCCAGGTAGTCATGCTGGTGGAAGGAAGGCCACTTGCCTGGGCAGTGTAACAGGCAGGGCACAATTTCACTACCGTCTTTTCCATTGACTTTGCTTGTTGGAATCTGGCAGTAAAGGTAGCAAATAGTGATCACATGAGCACAGAATGCTGCAACAGCCAGAACTTTGAGGACCCATTGTAAGTACCACTCATCAGAGCTATTGTTAATTTGAATATACCTGGAACAAGTGACATTAAATGAAGATTATCTGTATTTGGTTTGAACATTATAGTTCCTTCAAATGAATTCAAATATTCAGTTACAAGAACTGCTGCAACTCCTGAAGTCTTTGGGAAGAGCCTCACCTGAGATGGGTGCCAGCCAATAAACTTGCATATACTCCAGTAAACTGTTTCCCGAGCAGGAAAAGGTCACAGCAGAAGCCAAGGCAGGGTTAAAAAAGGCACCTGTGACAGGTGCAGCTGCAGCAGAGGAAAAGCAAACAGTTTAATCCATCTATTCTTTTTACTCTGGTGCATGCAGGAACATGTGCCCCAGTTAATCAGATTCAGTATGTTCAAATTGGAACAAAAGTTAAAAGATAGGAAGAATCCACCCTAAGTACTGAATATTTCCTCCTTTCAGGTGTTTTCTTGGAAAGGAACAGCATCTGGGAACAGTATGTCAATCTAGAGCATCATTTCTCAACCTCAACAACTTTAAAATGTATGGATTCAAAGAATCCCAGAATTCCCCAGTAAACATTCCAGCAATTGAAGTCCACACATCTTAAAATTGCTGAGGTTGAGAAGCACTGATCTAGGTGTGAGAGATTTTAACACCTCTGCTCGTATTTGGGATTCCCATTTTACTTCGGAGTTTGAACCACCATCTGGCAAGAATTCAGCAATACAATGGATACTCACATACACCCCCCCCTTCAAAGAGCAACATCCCAATACTCAGTTGATTAGCAAAAATGCCATATTATTTCGCATAACTACCAGGAAAGTGATTAGAAGTAAATACTTCTGATTGCATACATTCAAACTGAATTAGAAGTTTAATAAAATATTTTCAGATAGCTGGGAAGCAACCTTTTAATTTATACTTAGAAAAGCAGCCAACCTTAAAAACAAATATCATTTAAATGTTATGTGAAATAAAATAGTCATCTAAGAACTATCTCACCTGTCTTGTTTTCTTAATTCAGTTATGTCCTTTATTTTAAACAATTAAGACTCACTTCCATCTTGTTCAGAGTCATACAAATACCATACTGCACATCACACGAAAATTTACAGCAACAATTATTTTCCAGATGCAATACAAAAATTATAGGAGTCATGAGCCACTTGGTGTCAGGTGCAAGTACCAAGGAACAGGAGCACTACATGTTTATTACATGCTGCCTATACCCAAGAATCTGATCTACTAATAATCAAACCAAATTGGCACTAGATAAGGGTCATCAGAATTCGGGGGGGGCGGGTAGATTTGGGTCTCTGGTGTTTGGAGCACAGCAGCTCCAAACTGATGTGTTTGATCCCAGCTTTGGGTTCACCCTGCTCATCTCTTACTCTTGGTTTACACAGGTTAATCTCTTACACAGGTTTAAGAGCCTTGCTGCATGTTCTCCTATGTCAGTGGTTCTCAACCTGGGGGTCGCGACCCCTTTGGGGGTTGAATGGCCATTTCACAGGGGTGGCCAAATCCCTCTCTCACCCCCCCCACGCCTTCACTCACCCTCACTCTCTGCTCTGTTGGATCGCCGGCCGTTCGCTTACCCCGCCCACTCCCAATCTATTGCTGCCTCCTGAGTCCCAGCTGATGGCTAGAGGAAAAAAAAACTGTTTAAATTCTTGCCGCGGGGCTTCAAAGGGCCGGGGGTCACCACAACATGAGGAACTGTATTGAAGGGTCGCAGCATTAGGAAGGTTGAGAACCACTGTCCTATGTGTTTCCAACATTTAATTGATGCTGGAATCTGGCCAGATTTCTATAGACATTTGCATGCAGCTCTGCCATGTTGGCTTCTTAATCATCTTTGAGAGCTCCCTGACCACATTCACTTTGCAATACAATTTTCCAACTTCATGATTACCAGGCAAGGGATATAAAATTTTGCAACGTATTTGCTCATATTAGACTTTGATTGACTTAAAGAGAGGTTTGAAATGAAACAGGAGGTATTTTGAAATTTTTTAAGTCTACAGAAAAATCTGCGCTAACTGTCTAGGTGGACCCTTTCCAGCTGCTGATTATTGTACCAGTATTTTATGCTTGATTCCTAGAACTGTTGCTAGATTCAATAATTTGCCATCTTAGCCACTGCAAAAAGAACAATACTCTTCCCCCATTTGTTTTGCCACAATAAACTGTGGGCAGATTAATAAATTAGAAAGCCATCAGCACACTAGTGAGCTAAAAGCTTAAAGAATTTATTAAGCAAAGAATACCAAAATAAATACCTTTAACTGCAAAGTAAAATATTGATGAAAAATAGCCATACCCAAAGAAATAAAACACAACACAGTAATATTCAAGAGAAGTGCAAATACAAACAAAATTGCACACTCTTCATTTAAGACAATTACAGACATTTACCAGATTATTCCAGCTATCATATAGCACCTTTGCTTGGTAGGTGTAGAGTGAACTTCATCTCTAAGGGTGATTTAGCTTTGCCTCCTAGCTGATCATTTCTATGCAGAAGTGTATTCCCAAATCATGGTATATGTCCTAAAAGATTCCATCATTCATGGATAGAGATTGGAAACATACTTGCTCATGCCAGTCTAGGTCCCTACATGATCAGCTAACCTCGTAATCAAGAATTTAAGATTATGCTATTGTTTAAAGGTCTTTTATTTCAGTATATTAAGTACATTGTGTCAGTATACTGTGTCTGTGCTATCCTCCACTGCCGATTGTATTTATGAAGGTGTTTGACCCTAGATAAATGTATATCCTATCATACTGTTCTAGTCTATGAAATCACAGCTCTTTTGAAAATAGATGCTTACTTGCACATTGCTGATTCATCCTATATCTTGCAATTGCTGATTGTTATTATTTATTCAAGTTGCAATAAAGGCAAAATAAGTTTAGCACCATGAATATTTAGATCATCCTTGTCAACCTGCTACCTTACAGAAGTGCTAGAGCTTCAGTTCCCAGAATTTACTTCAGGAGAGATAGTAACCATCGTCACTGGAGGGCATCAGTTTGGGGAATGTTGGACTTCGATACCCCACTGAAAACAACTAAACAAGAAAGTCTAAAATGGCATGACAAGGTATCTCTGGGAATCAGTGGCAAAGGATCCATAGAGGGACGAGAAGTCTGAACTAAAAATTTAATCAAATAAATTTAATACAAAATTGAATATGCAGAATATTCAGTCCTAGTTACCAAAGAATTTAACCTTCTAAGGCAGATATGGACAAAGCAATGCAAACAGAAAACTAGATGACAAAAATTTATACTAAACCTGAAAGCAGAATCATCACAGCTGGCAGCTTTTAGCAGCCAAATGATTCAATATTTGCTGCTTTCATTGTCAAATACAATGAAAATTGATAAACTGAACAAAAAAGTGATTATTTAATGCTTTGTTCCTATCAGACTCTTAAAGTCTGTTTTTAATTGAACTAGTTCTGTATTCTGTGTTTTGTTTTGCCATAAGACAGCGGGCCAAAACCAGCAATACTTTAGCTATATGAAACCTTAAGAGACTAATATACTTTTTTCACTAAGATCATCACATAAAAATATATATTCTAGTTTCTAGTGAATGCTTCTAGATTTGTTTCCATTTTTCATCACTTCTGAAGTAGGAAAGGCAGGTTATAATAATCATGTTGATGTAAATAGAATGTAAGCATTTAAACATATTTAATTGTATGCCATAGGTATATTGAAACACTGCAAGTATTAAATAGTTTTTAGTTTCTCAATGTACATCAAGGCAAGATTGGATAGCAATCCTTACCTGTATAGGTCAAGGCAGTGATACTGAGCGCCACAATAGGAACTCTGTACATGGGAGAGCAGGTGTGAAGCTTGAGAATAATTAACTGGAAAAGAAAGGAACCCATGCCTTCTACAAAAATGCCTTGGGAGATAGAAGTATTGAGAGATGAGCTGCAATCCTGGGCCATTAAGTTCTGGATCATATGGAAGTGAGTAAATTCCTTGGACCAATACTTCTTGGTAAAAACACAAGCTGCTTCCATCCCTAGAAACTGAGCCAAAATTTTAACAATACTGCCTACAAAAGAACAATCCAAAGCTAGAAATTCCTGAAGTGAGGCTACAGGGTTGGCAGCAGTTCCATCAAAAGAGGCACCATGAGCTAAGAAGATTACGAATAAGAGAGTCAGGCTCACATCTGGGCCAAAGCCACCACCCCATGGGCCAATCTCCCTTAGCATCTTCAATTCAAGGTAGCAAGCACATATCTGGAAGGAACTGGCTAATTCACCAGCAAAACAAAAATACACCTTAGATGGAAAAATTCTCTTGAAGAATCGCCTAGCAAATTCACAAAGAGTTACAACTGAGAAGAAAAAAATGATTGAGACATTCAGTCCAGACATTCTGAGAAATACACTGGAGAGGTAGTATGTTCTAACTAAAAAAAAAAAAATCTTCACTGCATGAAAGAGAAGGGAGGAGAAACTATTTGTCTTTCCTTAAAAGCATATTTAAGCAAACGTGGCATAGTTTGATAGGTACCAGGTTAATAGGATCACAGAAATATCTGGGAAAACGAACCATGAAGGAATTGGCTCAGATAGAATGTTGCTCCCTTATCACTTTGCAACTGCTCTAACCAGAATTTCACCTTTGGTCTTCTTTTCCAGTAAACCCCACTTGTCTTTTTCCATCCCTAGAAACCCCACCTAAGCCTTTTCCTCTTAAGAAAAAAACATTAATAAGCCGCAGCTTGGAATTGGTTCAGAATCCAGTGAAACCAGCAGGTGACTCCAAGGGCAAAGCAGTCGAGATTCTTGAATTCAAAAGCTTATTCTATCTCAATAACTGTCTAGAGATAATGGCTTTTCTTACTGTTGTCAACTGCCTTCAAGTCAATGTTGCTTCATGGCAGCCCTCTAGAGTTGTCTTGAAAAGTGTTCAATCTTCAATTAGTGACTGACCATTATCAGAGTGATACCCACGTTTGTTTTTATTGTTCCAATCAAGACATTGCAAGTTTTTCCTTCTACATTTTCCTTTCAACTTTGTTTTTCCCTACTATCCCATGAAAAATGTCCTTATTTTTGTAATCTGAGGAAGACCATGGAGACTTCTGCATGTATTTGCTTGATTGTGCAATTGAGGAGCTTTAGCAGGGGTTCAGATCACACATAGGGAAATGCTATCAATGGATGCTAGTTTAAAGCCTCATTGCTATGGAGGGGAAATTCAAGATTCTCGCCAAGATGACTCTGGGTAGCTTAGAGATGTCACTGCTTTGACATCTCTACTACAATATTTCAACTTGCTTTCAGAACGTAAAATATCCTTAACATCATTGAACATTGTCTTATCTTTCTTCATATAAATTATATATTATGGGTTCCCAAGACATTGCAACCATCATAAATGCTGCCAAATGTCTGAACTTTGATCACGTGACCATGGAGATGCTGCAACTAATGTGTGAAAAATGGTCATAAGTCATTTTTTTTCAGTGCCATTGTAACTTAGGTCACTAAAGGAACTGTTGTAACTTGACTACCTGTAATTCTACAGCCTTAAGTCAATGATCAGTTTGGGATCATTGATGAAAACCTATCCAGTGTCATTTTGTTTTGTGTCATCTATATTTTTTATGTTTTAAATGCCTCCCAGTCTAAACAAGTTACTGAGCTTCTCAAAGTGTAGTCATTAGCAAAAAAATAATGATATTAATACTGGCCTCAACCAGATTTGTAACAGAATTGCTTTCATTACAAAAAAACCCCTAAGTGTAGTAAACCTAAGATTTGGCACTGGCACTTCTTTCAAAAGGCAATGCATAATCAGGTCCAGAATCATCTAAAAGATTAAAGTAATAGGCAGTGATAGTTCATGGGTATAGGAAAATACTGAATTAACATTCAATTACTGCTATTAGTAAGTTATTAGTTTAAATTTATGATCAACAAATTCATTAGTATTTTTCACTCTTCTAACATGTTTATAGTTGTTTTTCTAGAGGAATTAAGCAAAGAACAGTCCAGAAAAAAAACCCCTAATCATTAGCACCAAGATGTCTCAGCTGGTTTGCTGTCATGGAAGCTTTGAAGACAAATGATAATTACATTGCAACTATGCTCCAATGATTCACCAAAGCCATACACAAGTAAATACAATGTTCTCTGATTGATCTATTATTTAATCAAGTGTTGGGTGAAAAGAAAGATCTGTCAATCATTTTAAAAATGTTTATTTCTAGCCCTGAAAGAATCATTAAACATACAGTAGTTAATATTGTGGTAACATTAAATAACAGAATGAGATTAAATTATACAAAATTTGAGGACAATTAAAAAAATTAAAAGCTTGCATTATTTCCATCTCCATCTGACAAAGGAACAAATAAAGAAACCATTAATTCCAGCTACAAAAACAAATTCTTCAACACTTAATTGACTCCAACTACAATAGAAAAGTGAATTGACTCCAAACTGTTCCAGAATATGCATATGATGACCACTTAACTGGATGCAATTTCAAATGATGAATGACTCAAACCCAAAGCAAACATTTGTACTAAGTGGGAGGGGGGACGAATAAGAGCTCATCATTCCAGATAAGCTTGCTTTAATGAAATATGTTTTCTCATTACAGTATCACACCATCAAACATACATGACAATCTTGCCTAAGATCCAAAAGGTGATTCAATTATTTGATGGAAGTGATGAGTTCTGTTTATGAACTTTTGTCACCCACGTTTTAATGATGCATAAAATTATCCAATTAAAATCTCCTCTCTCTTCAGCAATCTATACAAAACAGTATTTTGATTTAGGAAATCAAATTGCAGGTATTGTGTGCTTTAAGATGGACAGTTTTAAATTTTAATTTGGCTCAATGTTTTTAGTTGACCAAAACTAATTATGTTTCAGAAATATGTACCTCATGACTGAATGAAGCAGCCAATATTTATTCATTTTATTTCTGAAAATCTGATTAAGGTAGATTTCTACTTCTGTGTCTGAAAAAAGTAACATATGTCCAATCCAAAGTATACAAATTACAAACAAAACGTTGTTTTGTTTATCTAATGGAATGTTCCCGTCAATTCATTTCTATCTTTTTAATGAACAATGGGCACAAAAATTAGATTATTATATAAGCTGTATATTACATTTTAAGAGTATCAAATAGACACAATTTGGAGTACTTGGATACCTTCAGGCAAAGTAGTAAGCGTACAACGTATTTCAACTCCTGTGTTAATTCAATTGTAAGAAACTTTGAGCAATTTAAAAAACATGGTTAAAATTAAGTTCATTATCTACCAAAATCCAATTTATTAAGGTGACAATAAATGTTAAGAATTTTAAGTATTCAGAAGAGAATATCTTTTCATACTATTATAAAAAAAAACACTAAAACATACATATCCACAGAAGCCTTCATTTCTACATATTCCATTGCCAGCAACAGACAAAGACCCAATAAAAGATTAAATTAACTGGAATTTTTAATGTCTTAAAAATTTATCAATATAAGATCAAAATTATTTTAACTTCTGTATTAACATTGAAAGCCATTTTTAAAAGAATGAACTGGACTTAAAAATACATCTCAGACTAGGACATCACACCTTCTTGGACCAAACCAAAACACATTCAAAATATTCTGAAAATAAATAGACTGGTTTGTTACACGATTTTCAGAGTAATACTTTTGACAAGATATGGATATACAAGTGTGGCATTGTTTTTAGTTGCATTAATAAGGCATTGCTGGTATCAATCAGAAAGCAAAAAAGTTTCAAGGTGTAAATCAATTAGAGCCCTTTGTACTACTGTGGATCAAAACCTCGAATATGGCCAGCAGCCATTTTACAATACCTTCATCATGATCTTCTTATATGAATATTGTTCACAAATAGAAAAAGGATTTAGCACTGACCATGAGAAAAGCTACAAGATGCAGCCTCTTAACTAGGACTTTAAGAAGCTCTCCCAAAAATACTATCTAGGAATGCAAGAAAGCTGTAGCACCAAATTAAATAATGTCTTACATTATTATTTGGCACATTATTATTCAGAAATGTTCTATCAAGGTCACAAAAAATACAGTGATTTTAAATTTGAGCAACGTGAAACTCCAAATCTTGCCCCATTTAACCAGATGTTGGCTTACTTTATTAATCTAATCAGTTTCTTTTATTATGAGAGGCACTTTATCTTGTTTTTCTCCTTAATAGTAAAGTTTTTCAAGAGAAAGAATCACCAAGACAAACTCTCCCATTTCTATCTGTATAAAATAGCACTTCCGGTGTTCTGAGGCTTTAGTCTGCTGAATCATATAAAAATCTTGGATCTTTTGCAAATCTTCTGGGTCTTTTATTAGTAGAAATAGTATGAATATATTTATATTTATATATATATAAAGAAAGAAACCTCTAATACTTAGTCCTGACAATTTCAAATTTGTGTTGGAGAGAAAATGTACAACATATACAAAATGTATTTAATACAAAGAAAGGTAATTTTAAAAATCAGAAGGCACCAGCATGTAGCCCACAGCCCAAGTCAGAACATGGATAAAGCACTTTGCTATAAAACAACACATTTTCCAAGACATCCCTTTAAAAGGTTACCAATCAGCCTATACAGGCAAGGAACAAATGGAAGACAATTCATAGGAGTGGGGGTTTCTCCCCAAGCTCAAAGGATGGTTTCATTACTGAAAAGAAAATACTTTTCCCATTACCCAACAGGCATTGACCCTCCAACATTCAGAGGCACCTTTTCCTTATTTTACAAAGTCCATGCACAAATTTCTACATCCAGTTGTGCTGAGTTCCTTTCTTTCCACTCTGTCTTCTGTTCTTTGTTTCAGAACTGTTACTGAATAATTACAGTCCCCAGGTATCTGGATGGTTAACGTAAGAAGGGTTATACCTAACTGCATATTAAAAGGAGAAAGAGGAACTTTCACATTTCTATCTGTCTTAAGTAACTCAAACGTTCCCATGCTTTGAATTACTGCCTAGCAAAGGAAACCTAAGGTGAAAAAAGGTCAGCAGATTACAGTAATACCTCCCTCTAAAAGCTTGAATCGATTGTTCAAGTATTGCAAATGTTCAAATAAGAGCACAGATGGGAAGTGGTACAGCAAAGTCACTGAAAAACAACTCATTGGCATAGCAAAATATTGAGTTGTCTATAGAAGTGGTAAAAAGGCCAGTGATTCAGTTTACAACTTCTTCAAGACTTGCAGAAAAGTTCACTATTATCACAATTTTTCTTCTCTTGTATCTTAGAGCTGAGGTGAATTTTTTCCCTTCTGCAGATTTTCAACATCTCTAACAAGAGCAACAAATTGTATATTATAGGAAGATTTAAACAAAAAACAAAGCAGACAAACAAACAAAACCAGGAATGATGAAGACCACAACAGCAATGCTAGCGATTACTCTTCATGGCTTCTTTGGCCGCTAGAATCAATGGTGTCAAACTTGACAAAGGTTTTGCCAGTTTCAAGAAAGGATGCTAATGGAAAGAGAAACAGAAGTTTTAATGGATAGATATTTCAAAACACCATTTCAAAACAAACACTTTGAAAACAATCCAAAAATGAAATTATACACAAACATGGTAATGATAAGAGTACATTAAAAGAAAGGGGAAGCATACAACCTTGGGGAAGTTTCAGTACTCAAGACATTAAGTCACAGAAATAACTCCACAGATAGCTATTACAATGAAGGAAGAACGTTCTTCCACCATTTCTTTACCAGAATATTTAAATAATTATGATTCTAATTACCTTACTATGCTATGAATAGAGATAAGGTGAAAGTAAGTCCAGTAAATTGTGGCTCTTAATTTTCAAACTTTGTTAAACTTTGTTAAATGGCACTAACAATATCTTTCTTGAATGGAACAAAACCAAGACCTCTGCAAATTCTTCCTATCCTAAGGAATTCCACTGACGTAACTGCAGATGTGTCATCCTTATATATACAATAGCGACTATTCTTAGCTGTATTTTTACAAGCATTTAGGAAGGCCATGTAGTTGTCTTCCTTTCTCCCCTACATGACAATTTTCCTGTATTAGCAATGTGAACCCTGCATCTATATGTTAAAGACAGACTTTTAATTTTAATTAAGCTGAAGTGGAAAAGAGGGGTATAGAGCATCCTGACACAATTACAAAATCTTATAGTACTTAAGTCAGAATGGTGAGGATTCTGCAGTAGGCCAAGAGAAAAGAAAGGGTAATCATCTGTTTTCGACTGGTTTACTATATGGCATTGTAGAAGCACATACAGCTCCTATCTTTCCAGAAGAGTACATATTGATGCATACAAGAGGAATAGGAAGATTCTATCTAGATACCCAAGAATTTTTAAAAAGGCAGCAATTGTTTCCAAGAAATCAGACTGAGAAATTTCTCAGATCTTCCCCTTATTGAAATGTATTTTATTTATATTTAACATTATTCTTAATTTACAACACTTTAGTTTCTTTACCTGTAGTAGTTCTTTGGCTGACCCTCTTTTCTCTACATCCATTTCCAAACAACTATTTAAAAAGTCACGGAATATTGGAGTCAGTTTCTCTGGGCTCTGCAGCTCGGGGGTGCCATTAGTTGCTATTAAATATAATGCCTGTAAAGAAAAAAAAAACCTTGAGCATTAATAAATCAAAACCTGATAAACATTTTTTGTACACATACAATTTGAAGAGATATGATTCAATATATTATTCAGTCTTGGTGGTAGTCTTCTCTGGCAGCGATCTCCAACCATGGCCACTTTAAGACTTGTGGACTTCAACTCCCAGAATTCCCCAGCCACCTACGATATGCTGGCTGGGGAATTTTGGGAGTTGAAGTCCACAAGTCTTAAAGTGGCCAAGGTTGGAAATCCCTGTTCTATGGTGTATTTTCCATGCTTAGTATATTTCTGAAAATCCTGGTTTTCTTAAAAGCTGAATAGAAATACCAAAAAAGGAAAAACTAAAAAAAGACTGACAGATGTCTATTATGCTGCTTATCATTATTTCAATGACAAGCTTTTTGCTTTTTATTTTGCTCACAATGTGTCTCACATTGTATATATACTATAATAATAAATATTACTCTGTTATGTACAGAGATGCTTGGGATGAATTCAACTGCTTCCTTTCCTCACCACTATTGGTTTCTTAGTGGACCTATTTTGGATTTTGGAGGTCACCCTGGAATACCACAACTCTTTTATTCACTCATTACATTCTTTTACACATCCAGAGTATACTCCCCTTGGTTCTTTTAAATAGATTAGTCTGACACTGTGATGTATTTTTATTTGGGAGTTACCTGCGGCAAACACTTTGTGTGTAATGGGGAGGCAGGGCTATAAGCTATTAGCTCATTAGTAATCTATGATAGCATGACACAATAACAAGCAATCTCTATACCTCAGTCTAACTTAACTTTCTCTAAAAATTGTCAACTCATCTCCACGACCAACTTAATCAGGAAACAGAAAACAAGAAATAAAATGGGTGATCCCACTTAATTTTCTGCCTCTGTCCAATCTATCCCATTCATGCAAGAAAACACTCTTAAAGGATAGTGAGGGTCATCAGAATAATAACAGTTCTACCTCTATTTTGTAACTTTTTCAGTTTTTTTTAAAAATATATTTTAGCAAACTTCATGTAATTTGACTGAGATGTGCTATAAATTAGAATGCAGTTTCGGATAATGGCTGACATTTATTTAGTTTGTGTTAGACTATAATACTAAATGTCCCTAAGCTTTACTACTAGCAATTGTTTTAATAAGCAAACTTTCCCCTGGCAAAAGATCATATAGCTTTTTTTAAATTTTGCTTTTTGCTGCATTGTGGGATAGATTTGCTATAGTACTTACCCTCAAAGGGTTTTCATTGAGATAGGGAGGTTCACCTTCAACCATTTCAATAGCCATAATACCTAGAGACCAGATATCCACCTTAGGGCCGTAAGCCTTCCGTGTGACCACTTCAGGAGCCATCCAATATGGTGTTCCAACCATTGTACTACGTTTGCTTTGCTCTGGAGTTATCTGAGCACAAAACCCAAAGTCAGCTGCAGAAGAAAAAGGAGGGGAGGAGCAAAAATGGCTTAAATATATCACTGGTCATCTTTGACATCACCCCAATTATCCTGAACAAAGAGCTATTTTATTTTCATTCAGGTAGACTTATGACCACAATTGGGATCAGAATTTCTATTCCTAACCAAGGTGGTTGTTAATTGAATCACACCCAATTTTACATTTTTTGCCATGGTTGTTAAGCAAATCATTACAGTTGTAAAATGAATCACATGGTCATGTGAATCCAGACTTCCTATTGACTTTGCTTGTTGGAAGCCAACTGGGAAGGTCACAAATGGTGATCATGTAATTCTGGGATGCTGCGACCATCATAAATATATGTTGATTATCAAGCCCCCAAATTTTGATTATGTGCTATGGGATGCTGCAACGATCCTGTCATAAGTCATCTTTTTCAATAGCACTGTAACTTTGAATGATTGCTAAATGAATGTTTGTAAATAGAGGACTAACTGTATTTCTTCTTCGAACACTGAATTTTGAGAGTGAAGATCCCTGAAAACTCTAGGATGGAACAACACTTACTATAATATTATGCTTGACCCATTATAAAAACACCCACTATTAATTTGAAGTTAAAAATGTTCCTAATGTTTCACACATCACATTTAAGCACCCACATTTAAAAAATATATACCAATATTAAAATAGTTTGGTGACTTCATTTAGACAGGTGATAGGCAAATTCCGAAAGAAATTTCCAAAAAAAGTATTCTATTTTTTCTCACATCACATTTAAGCCCCCAAATACATTACATATATACATAATGTATATATACATTATTCTTGCCAAGCAGATTTGATCAAGCTATTGATTTATCCATAGGAAAAAAGAACCTTATAACATTATGTTTCAGGTGCAAATTGAAAAGGACAGATCCTTATGCAATTGAGAACATCAAAAGTGTTAGAAAATATAAAAGTGGTGATGATGTTAATAAGCAATACATATTCCAACACAATATATTATTTTTTGTTCATTCATGTTTGTGGGGATGTCTGTTTTAATCATGATGTCAGGCCTGGAAGCCATCTTTTGCACTAGGTCTTCAAACCTTTAATCATTTGATTTGACCTGATAAAATTTCGTGGACACAAGGCTGCCACAGTTTTATCCGGTCAAGTGAATGATTAGATGGAAGATGAAAAGATGGAAGCCATCTTTTGCACTAGGCCTTCAGACCTGCCACATTTACTACTAGTGCCAAACTTCCAGCTGCAATGTTTATTGCAGATAATGGCTGAGTAAAACCAACATGCAATTTCCGGCTGATAGCCCCTTTTAAAGGAAAACTATCAGCCTTTAACCAATAACATTAAAATATGTCCCACACCTGCGTGGCAGAATTAAAGTCTCTGCTCACGCCTGCACAGACATAACAGATGGCCTCCAGGCCTGACACATGACTTAATCTATACATCAGCTAAAATTGAATGAAAAGCAAGTTTTGATTAATTAAATGGAATGGTATGGTCCCTGAAGAATTCCTTAAAAAATAAAAATAAAACCAGCATAGAAAGCATAGAGAAACTCTGTATGCTTTAATCATATAACCAACTTTAGTCCATTAACATTTATCTTAAAAATGCATGCAAACAGAAGGGATATTACAAATTCCAAGTTTTATAACTGCAGTATGTACCTGCAGTTTATCTTTCACACAGCACTACAATCATTTGGACTACAAGTTTTGTTTCAGATGCATCAATATAAAATACTAAAAATGTCCAGAATTCTTATAATTGAAAACACACCATCCATAACCACGACAACAGATATAGTCTAAACTTTTCTCTTCAATTTAAATTTCTGAGTCAAAATTATATATTTTATTCTTATTTTATTTTACAACAATAAGACTGATTGGTTTTAAATACTACTTTTGCTTATTAATATTGCAATGCATTTGTTAAAATGACGGTGCTCAACACAAAACCTGTTCAGCTTTGTACTTCCTTGTTTTTGAAGATCGGGTGACATCTTAAAATAGGGAGGAAAATGTCCACAGAGGACATTGGCTGGCTAAATAATTTCATTGTTAGTCTAATCAAGGTTGCCACCTAGTGGCTTAAAAATGAAAACTTAATAGTGATATGCAATTTAATATTACTTTTATAATGTGAATGATGGAGCTATCATGTACTTACTCAGCTTAACTGAACCATCCATTCCCAAAAGCACATTGTCACTTTTAATATCTCTGTGAATCACCTGGTTGGCATGTAGGAATTCCAATGCCTGCAAACACTGCATGAAGATAATTGAAAGGTTTATTGTCTAAACAAATTCAAAATTTATATTTGGCTAATTGAGTATCTCAATACATAAACTAGATTTAAGTACAGATAGTCCACACTTAAAGACCATAATTGACACTTGGAACTTCACTACTAAGTAATACGGTCATTAAGTGAAATATCACACAATCACATCGGACTTATAGCAGTTCCATTGCAGCCATTAAAGGAATTACCCATACTCACTGAGACGTCACTGCAACTTCCAATTTTACTGCCAGCTTCCCCATTTGCTTTGCTTGTCAGAAGCCAGCTATGAAGCTTGCAAATGTTTCAATGATTATAAATGCAATCACATGACCATGGGGAGACTGCAATGGTTGCAACTTCAAAGGGTTGCTAAACAGTGCAGTCATTAATCGAGGATTACCTGTATCCTCCAGAGCCTTGAATTATTTCACATTTACTTAAGTAAAGAAAAAAACATGTTTCCAAACATTCTTAGATAATGTCTTAGAAATTAAATTTGAAATGAAACCACAATTCTTTTTGCTAGGTATTATCCCATAACATATAAATAAAAAATACAGTACCTGATTGGGAACTTAAACAAAGAATATTTAGAAATGACAAAATTAACACAATATATACATTACAGAAGTTTAACTAAATTTAAGTAGGAGTGGCTTCCCTATATAATATATATATCATGCAGCAGGGGAAATACAAACATTTAGAATACTGTATAAATATATAACATGCAGTTTAGAAACCATAAATACTGTAAATTAGTTGGAGTATAAAAGGGGAAGTCAGAAACCAAATACTTGTCTGTATTATTTTTTCCTTAATTTCCTTCTTTGTTTTAGCATTTACAAATAGCAATAAAAGTGAAATTTTGGCACTAAGCTCAAAGATTTATATTCTTTTCCATATCATAAAATCTCAATGTACTTTGTCTGATATGATCAATATTTTATTAATATTATACATTAATTGCATAATATTAGTAATTCTATTGGTCCATTTATTGATATTTCATTTTAAATGATATTTGCTTTAAATAAATAAATTTTAATCGCAGAAGTACTTTCTATCTAAGAATTTATCTACATATTTATTCAACTATAACGGTTGAATGTTTATGGTTGTATTTATATTCAACCATAAACATTTCTTCATCTAAAATTACTGTCTATGTATATGGAGAACAGTTATGCCACTCTTCATGCATAGTATTAATTTAAATATTCTGATTCATCTTCACAATTAATTTTGCAACAAACCAAATCTTTAACCTAACAAGCTATCATTAATTTTCATAAAAGAGACTTCCAGACCCAAAGAGAAAAATAAATATTTCAGAAGAATTTTGTACTGCAGAGTGTATATATGCACATACCTATCATCATATGAAATCTATTACATGAATTGCCAATTATGAAAACTGATGAGCAATATATTGCCATTCAGTTGTTTCTTTGCTTTAGTAAAATACTTTCCTCCCATTTCAAGACTTATATTATCCATATGAAAACACAAGTATAAAACTATTAAATGTTTGAATGAAGTTTGTAAAGACTTGATGGAATAATTTATAACTAGAATATATTAAAGGACACAATTTGTTTTAAAGGAGAAATTACACATCTTAAAAGCATCCACACTCACTAAAAAGTTGGAATGACTGAATGTGGCTATGCTATACAATGCATGGCACTGAAGAAGTGATACTTACAAATGGCCCTTGCATTTATGACAGTTGCAGCATCAAATGCAATCATGCAATCATAATGTGACTCCCCTCCTGCGCGAGCTGCACTGGCTCCCAGTGGTCTTCCGGGTGCGCTTCAAGGTTCTGGTTACCACCTTTAGAGCGCTCCATGGCTTACGACCGGGGTACCTACGAGACCACCTTCTGCCACCAATAGCCTCTCACTGACCAATACGCTCCCATAGAGAGGGTCTTCTCAGAGTGCCGTCGGTCAAACAATGTTGACTGGCGGCCCCCAGAGGGAGAGCCTTCTCTGTGGGGGCACCCGCCATCTGGAACGAGCTCCCCCTGGAGATACGGAGGATACCAGATCTGCGCACTTTCCGCCGCGCCCTCAAAACATTCTTATTCCAGCAGGCTGGTCTGACCTAACCTCCCTTTTTAATTGCTTATAAATTGGTTTTATAATTGGGGTGTTTTAAATCTGGCCAAAGTATTTAATGTATTTTAAATGGTTTTTAACATTTGTATTATGTATATTTTACTTTTTTGGCTGTTCACTGACCTGAGTCCTTCGGGAGTAGGGCGGTATACAGTATAAATTTAATTATAAATAAATAAAAAATAATAATCCAGACACTCACTATTCATGTCTACAATGTTGCAGAGTCCCACCATCATGTGATCAATATCTGTCTGCGACCTTCACTGCCAGCTTCTAACAAGCATAGTCAATGGAATATCTGGCAGGAGGTTGTAAATGGGAACCAGATAACATTGTGTTTAATGACAGGCAGCATGGGATTCACTTAACAATAGCAGCTGGAACTTACTAGAACTGCCACGTCGCTAAGCAATGTGGTCACGTGATATTATGCTTTACAACCACATTGTCTAGCAACCAAATTCTGGTTGCAATTACGATTGTTAAGTGAGAATTATGGAAAAGATGTGAGGATCGCTTGCTCAATAAAGATGATGATATGCCAACAGGTGAAAAGAAGAGCAATTCAACACTTGATTTGACTCAATCTTCTCCAACAAAACAGTAGATTTCATTAGGCAACTGTGAAGAGCAGAATGAAGAAGCAAGAATGAAGTTTGAGACCGGCAGAAACATAGTCGTGGAGTATCTATTTCTGTAAATAGTTTAATACTCTAAGGGCAAATGAGCTGGATATTATTAAAATTATAAGATTCCCGAACAGTTCATAAAAAGTGCAAACTGTAAGCACCTTGAATACAATGCAATAATTACCAGTACTATGAATTTGTCCTCAACAATCTTGCCAGATTAACCTTTCCTCGTTTTTTAAATGAGGTAACTTTCTAACTAAATTTTGGGAGAGTTCTAGAGATAATAAATCTTCCTTTCAGCAAACATCTTGACAAAGTACTCCATGACATTTTGGTTAATGTGTGCTAGTTATATAAGACAATTAAATAGTTACATAGCTAGTTTTAAAAAATTGTTGTTGGTGAGCTACTAAAGTGCTACCAAATGGTTGATTTCCTGGCTTTCTAATCATTAACATGTTTATTAATAAATTAGATGAAAATATGGAAAGAATGTTTAACAAGTTTTTCTTTCCTACTTAGATTTTTAGTCAAATATTTCCTATATATTCAACCAGTATCATAGGCAAAGATGGTTCAGAGCTCTCTGTAGCATGAATAAACAACTTCAATGCAAATTTGAGTCCAAGAGACTAATCCACACTATTATTTACTCCCATTAACATGGAGTTTATAGCTAGAGTTTCTAGATTCAGAAGTTATTTTTTATCCAAGATGTGTTTCCTCAGCATGAACCACAGTGGTGCAGTGGTTAGAATGCAGTACTGGAGGCTACTTCTACTGACTGCCGACTGACTGCAATTTGGTAGATCAAATGTCATCAGGCTCAAGCTTGACTTAGCCTTCCATCCTTCCAACGTCCATGAAATGGGGACCCAAATTTGGGGGGGCAATATGCAGACTCTGTAAACTGCTTAGAGAGTGCTGTAAAGCACTGTGAAGCAGTATTTAAATCTAACAGCTATTGCTATTGCTATAACTACCTCCCCATGAACAGTATATCACAGAAGTGAGTATACCCCCTCACATTTTGTAAATATTTAAGCCTATCTTAACACTATGAAGTCGTATATAAGTCTAAATGCTACTTACATTGAGGAAATCAATCAATATCTATCATATAATAATTGATATTTCCCAAAGTTGTAATTTCCCTTAATCACCCACCTCTCTGCAGACAGCAGCAATCTGCGCCTCATCCATACAAGTCTCTGTAACTACATCTGTAAGGGATCCACCAGCCAGATACTCCATTACAACAAAAAGTTCATCTCCAACCAGGTAACTAAAGACAGAAAATCAACATTAAATTTCAACACAATGAAACAACTGTTTGACGTTAGATTGGGAAAAGAAGCTAAAGTAAATAAACAATACAAATTCATTAGTACTGGAGTTATATATTGTGCAAGCCCTGCATTAGTTACTAACTGGCTTCTGAATATAGTTTAAAATGCTAGTTTTAACCTATAAAACCTTTTGGCTTAGTATAAAGAGATATGAAGACTGCCTCCTTCAACCATAATGTTCCTGTCCAACATAAGCAACTTGGAAAACACTGAGGGTTCCCTCACTACTGGGAAACTTAGGGCCAAGACTAGGAGCAATACATGCTTTCCATTATGGCCCAGTGCTTGTGGAATAGTTTCAACCAGAAATTAGGCTAGCTCTGATACTATTGGTCTTTGAAAATAAGTTGAAGCTCTTCTGGGGCAATGCATAATTGCTTACATGCTCCCATTTTAAGGTAATTTAATTAGTTGCTATGATTATTTTTTATTATGTTTGTGTTATGAATACTTTTCATATGTCTGCAAGTTTGTAGACATTTAAAATAGCAATAGAACAAAAGAATTAAATATGGGAGATTAGGTATTGGAATGCTTTTTTATAACTAGGTAGCAGTATTCTCTTCCTTTGGCCATGTCTTCCCATGACTATCAAGGCTGAATCTGCACTAGACCAGACAGGGCATTTATCTATCCTTGGCTGGGGGGGAAATCAACAAAAAGTCCATTATCGCATAAAGGTGGAGAAAAAGGTGGAGAAAACCCTGGGTCTGATACACAGAGTGGGCTGGATTACTGGAATCAACACCATCCTTGAGAATGGGGAGGTGGTAAAAAGAATAACAAAAACATGATTATACCTTCACAATGCTAGTTCACCCTTTCTGTTTGTGTATCATGACAACATATCCATGTATGAAAAGGGTAGATCTTGCAGGGCAACACTGACAAAAGGAGCAAGATCCTGTCTACAGCTAGAATCTACCTATCATCTTCAAGTAGCTTATTTTTTTTAATTAAAGCTTCTTGCGGCTACAATAAAAGCAAGTTATCTATGCAAGAAATTACCTTGATTGTTCTACAATTCAAAGTTCCTTTTGAGAGAACTTTGATTGGTCTAATGGCTAAGGCACCAGACTAGAAAGCAGGAGACTGTGAGTTCAAGTCCTGCCTTAGCCGTGAAAGCCAGCCAGGTGATTGGAGCGTCACTCTTTCTCAGCCCAATTAATAGGAGGAGAAAGGTTTGTTGGATACATTTGCTGCCTTGAATCATTTGCAAAAATAATAAAGGTGGGATACAAATTACATAAATTAAATAAATAAATAAATTTCAGTCAAAGACCAGTATAGAACAAAACAATCAAAAAACTGTTTGAAAATAAAAGGGGAAAGTTAGATATAAAAGCTAAAGAATTGGAACAGAATATTATTACCACTATTACCAGTATAACTTATTCCTCTAGAGATAAAAAACAGAGTGTCATTTGTTTAAAACTAAAATATGGAAATAAAATTCTAAGACAGACAATTCTGTGTGTAATTCAGTGTTAATCAAGGATTAGCCAAGTTGCACTATATTAAAGAATGTGGTAGCTAGTCATCTTGGATCTTATCGTGTTGACATCATAACACAGTTTGGCAATATAGGGAGATAGAAGCCCCTTTAATCCAAAAAATAGTTTTTGTATACAGGAGGTTTCAGATAAGAGGGAATTTTAGTATCCGCATAAAATCCTTAGTATAGTAAAATATGGCAATAAATACAATTGTACTTGTATCACGCGGACACAGTCTAGCAGCATATGGACTATTTTTGTATCCGCTTTCCAGAATGACTCTTCTACTGTCAGTTTCTGACATTCAGAGTGAGAGAAAGAAGTATACATATCATGCTATTATCTATCTATTTGTCAGTCAGTCAGTCAGTCAGTCAATCAGTCACAAAGTATCTTGGGTCTTTCTTTTACATCATAACAGACTTCTTAATGTTTCCTAGCCATTAATGTGGAAGGCACCACATCACCTTTTGAAGATGATCTTGTCTGGTCTCAGATATTTTTACTACGTCTTGGAAACTTCAACCCTCACAGTACCTTTTGTCAAGGCAGTTAACTACCCAGATCATTCAGCCGTTGCCTGATTATCAGTCACATATCTAGTGTTAATGCTCTTGCATATATACCAATGGTGAAATGTAAAATTTGTTACTACTGGTTCTGTGGGCGTGGCTTGGTGGGGGGTATTGTGACTGAGTGGGTGTGGCCAACTTTTTTTTTTAACTTTTAAAACCATTTTTTCTACAACCTCTTCAGCCGAAGAGGTTGTTTAAAAAATGCTTTTAAAAGCCTCTGACGATCCCAGTTGAGTTGCCTGATTGTCAGAGGCTTTTTTTTTCTTTTAAAAGCGTCTGACGATCCCAGCTGGGCCACGCGATCATCAGAGCCTTTTTTTTTTTTTTTTTTTTTTAAAGCATTTTTTCGGCCGAAAAGGTTGCTCTGATGATTGCACGGCTCAGCTGGGCATGGGGAAGGGCAGGGATTTTTGCTACCAGTTCTCCGAACCACCCGCCATCACTACCAGATCGGGTGATCCGGTCCGAACCAGGAACATTTCACCCCTGATATATACCCACAATTTTATTATTATGTAGTAATTCCTTTACATAAGTTATCAAAGAAAAAGACAGAAATGAAGGCAAGTAAGAATCACCACAAAAGTGTGCTCAGCTGGATTCTTCCCTGTCCACTAATCATTATCACCAACAGCCTAGGAAGATTATAATTTAAAACATTTATTATATTGTTTTTTTGCAGTGGGTTATATTCTTTGTAATCAACTTTAGAAGAACTGTGATCCTAAAATATAGGACACAAATAATTATATTACATTAGTAAGTAGCAATAATAGCCTTTTCTAGAAAGTAAGTAATGATTACTGCATGAAAATCTTCTACAGTATTATCAAAAATTGTTCTCTTTTACTAGAGTGATTTATTTTAAAATACAAGTATAATTGTAAAATAGTACTAACTACACAAATAAAATGTTTCTTATTTAGAATTACAAAGTTATGTACAAATTTTTTAGTATGCTTATAATTTCTTTAAGAAACACAACATATTGGTCTTACAAGAATGCAAGAACAGACAAAATAAGACATGGCCAAAGCTTTGTTTTGATCATGGCTTAAATTTAACTTTCCATCAGCTACATGTTGTACTTAATTACCTGTCTAGAAAATTGACTATGTTTGGGTTCTTCAGCTCTTTCATTACCAAAATTTCATTGATAATCAACTCCTTTTTGGGTTGTTTCTGTAGATTTATTTGTTTTATAGCAACCTGAAAAGTAAAGAAAGAAATCAGAAGCTGTTATTCAAATAGAGGCAATTTGTATACAATCTGTGGTTTCTGCATGTTTAAGTTAAATTAATGGGGAAAATCTAGACCAAGTTAAATACCATAACCATTTGGTTCCATCGTGAGGATAGACCAAATAAACTGAAAATTACCCCTTATAGGCATATAAATACAACCAAAATAAATCATTAGCAACAGAGAGGTGTGTTTTTGTTCTTGATACATAAACTTCTCATCTTGAAGTCAGTGATTGTGCCTTGATTCTAGATAAGTAAATCGACCAATAATGAGATTACAATGTCAGAACAGAAATAGAACCCTGAGATCCACCAGTTGGAGCTAGAACTAGTTACCAACTTTTTCTCATGAGCTATGAAACATGATGATCTAAATCCTTCTCATAATTATTAAGATATAGTAATAATTTAATGCAATATAATTTACTCCTAATTACTGTTGCTGAACCAGAACTGGAGTCTCCGTTAGCTATTTTAAATAAGCCAGTAATTTAGCAGTACATCCCATTCTATCTTGTTAAACTTTATTTTATTTTATATTTATTTTATAAATTTTCACCAATGAGTTCCACAGCATATCCAAATGAATATCAGCTTTGATATTCTGTTCTTACCTCCTGTCCTGTCGCAACATCTATTGCAATGAAAACGGTACCAGAAGCCCTAAGAAAACCAAATATGCAATTAGTTGTAACATTTCAGGTATTTAACATGCATGTGCATGAAAAGGCAAAGCTTTGTATTTTCTGGAACATATCATTGTATTTTAAAGACAAATGGGGTGGGATTAAATCATAAACTAACCTACAATAAAGTCAATAGTTACACAAAATAACAGAAAAAACTAAATCTTTAATTTTACATAAGAAAGAAATAATAAAATCATCTGGACAAAATTTATAGCCTGTATATTTGGGCTTAGAATAAACTCACTCTCTATTCTCTTCTAAAGGAGGGAGAAAAAGCTCATTCTGAAGTTAATCAGGAAAGAAATGGTAAACTGCTTGGAATTCTTGTTCACAATTTCCTTTTTCATTACATTAATTGTTAATAGTACAGCACATTAGTAATTGTTTTATGGTTTATATTTTGTTAGATGTCTGGTTTGATTTATATTTTGAAATACACTCATACCAACACATATATATGCTAAGATAACAAAATTTAATTTAATTTAATTTAATTATGTATAGGTTATTTATGAATACTTACCCCTGTCCTATTTTTTCATATCTGGTATATTTTTTCTTGGGGTCTCCTATACTAACAATTGTTCCTAAAAGGAAATTATAACACTATAGGTAAACTAAAAAATAGTATCAGATCCAAAGCAGTAACACAAACAATACTGACATAATTAGAAGTCAATATTTTCTCTTGTATTGTTTGGATTCAACATTTCTCTGTTTAATGAAAAGAGGAAGGATATATTTCTATCAACATTCCTGTTTCACATAAAGCACTATTTCTAAATTGTACCAATGCAGCTCTTTATCTCCAGAACACAAAGGTAGTTCGAAGGCCGGACAACCTCCTTTATTAGCACTAATTCCTCTCTCTCAATACAGTGGTTATTGAATTCATCCCTTATAATGTATGCAGACAACCTGTTACAGATTAACTGCAGTCTCACATATTTTTCTGCAAAGCATTACAAAGCCATTCCTTATCTCATTTAATGAACAACTGTATCTCAGGAAACAGATCACAATTTTTCAAGGGTTCATTTCACTGAGAAAAATTATCTTGGGAGGACGGGTAGTCACTGGGAAATAAAGGGAAATAAAATTCTACAGTGCCAAGTAACTCTAATTAAGATTATCAACTTGCCATTTCTAACAATGAAGTTCTGAAACCAGATTGCCAGGAGATGGATTAAGGAAAAAAGGTCTTTCTTCTTTATTATTTCAATATGCAAAAGCAAAGCCATAGGGGCATATGCACTGCCTACTTTACATTGTTTAGCAAATTTTATGAAGTCCAGCACAGCCCCCAATTCAAGCGTTGCCTGGACTTTGTGGTTTTACAAATATCTTTTTAAAAAAATATGCAACATTCCAAAAACAGGTTTTATCTACAATAGAATAGAATAGAATTCTTTATTGGCCAAGTGTGATTGGACACACAAGGAATTTGTCTTGGTGCATACAATACAATTGACAATGACGGGAGACGTATACGCTAAGGAAATAACTATTCTCACAAAATTAAGTTTATTGTTGCCGTTTGATTTTTGAACAGGTGATGATAATTTTCTTCAGGACCTTTCAATATTCATCAGATACAACACAATATATTTAATACTATTTGCTAAAGCAACTTTCTTTCTATCCAAAGAGGCCTTGTTAGGACTTCAGATTCTGAATTTTAAAGCTGTTCTTCAATTTATTATTCTAATACCAATTCATACAACATTCCCACAGTGTGTCTGCACAAGAAAATCCACTTGGTATTTGTACAAGAAGTCAAATCCAAACATATATAAAAGGTTAACTCATTAGTTGGCAGCACCCAAACACTGTTATTTGATCTCAAAAAAACTAAGTACTGTCTGGGGTTCTTAGAAGGAGACAGTGCCAACAAAATTGCTCAGAAAATTACATGGATGTATTCATGTAGTTACTAGGAATAAATCAGACTCATAAAGACTATGCAGCATATATGGTTTTGAGATAATTAATGTCTTATTTTATGACTATCAAATTCCTACTTACGTAATCTTTCTGTGATCTCTTCATCTGACATCTTGTTTTTCCTTTTCTGTTTATCAGCTAATTTAGCATTGTCACTTAGATCGCCAGATGGTGCTGGGATTGGATCTATTACTGATCGTGTATAAACCTTAACAAACAAGATCATGGTTGTAATCTCATAGTATTTTAACATCTGATTTCTTTTCAAGTTCAACTATGTAACTATTTGAATTGCTGATTAACACTGAAGTTTGGTCTATAATGATTATAAAAATGGAGCCTTAATTTTTTCCCCAAAAAAGTAACATGTAATTTAATCCAGACAGATTTTAGTCTCTAAATGTGCTCCATGATTCTACTATATATGAAAGATAAAAATAAGGCAACTATTAAACTAGGAAGTTGACAACTATCCCAGAAGACCAAATCACTTCTACACTGTTGGCAAGAAAGCTACATGGATTTCTCCACAGTGACCATGAGTTCAGCTTGATTCTAATATGTCTTTACCTTTATGAGAATAAAGGATTGGTCTATATTATCTGGTGTACTGTAACATTACTATACATAGTCCTCAACTTACAACTGGGATTGAAATTTTGGTCACTTGGCAATGAAGTCATTAAATGAATCATTACATGACTGGACCTGATTTTATAATCATTTTTACAGCTGTCGTTAAGTGAATCCCGTGGTTGTTAAGCAAATTCAGCTTCCCTAATTGACTTTGCTTTTCGGGAACTGGCTGGGAAGGTCACAAATCACAATTATATGACTACAAGACACTACAACCATTGTAAATGTGAGCGAATTGTCAAATGCTTGAATTACAATCATGTTACCACACCTCGTGGTCATAACGTCAAGGACGGTTCAATAATCACTTTTCCCGAGGCTGCTGTAACTCTGGACTGTCATTAAAGAAATGGTTGTAGGTTGAAAATTCTCGTCTTTTGCATATTTCAATCTATAAACTATCATCCTCTATAAATATGGAGGCAATTATTCAAGTCGTGCTTTGCCCTTAGCAGCCAAACACACTAACAAAGTAAAATCAAATTACTTTTCAAAAACATGTGGCAAAAACGCGACGCATGGGGGGGTTAGGGAGACTGAAAACTGGCCCATTTTTCACAAAAATGGGGGCGGTTTTGCCCTCCCCAGCCCCTAGGACCACTCTGCAGGCCTCCCAAACCCTTTGCGCGCCCCGTTTTCGCAATAAACGGGGCCATTTTTGGCTTCCCAAACCCTCATGTATCACGTTTTTGTCCTCCCCAGCCCTCAGGACCACTCCCCAGGCCTCCCAAGCCCTGTGCACACCCCGTTTTTTGCCTCCCAAGCCCCCCATGCGTTACATTTTTGCCCTCCCCAGCCCCCAGGAGCACTCTGCAGGCCTACCAAACCCTCTGCGCAGTCAGTTTTTGTGAAAAACAGGACACGTAGAGGGTTTGGGAGGCCTGCAGAATGCTCCTGGGGACCGGGCAGGGCAAAAACTTTTTTTTCTTGTTTACATCTTTGAAATCTTGGTGTGTCTTATACCCCGGTGCGTCTTATAGTCCGAAAAATATAGTAAATAAATAAATATTACAGTGAACAATAACATTACAAAAAGATTGTAGCTAAAAGCAACAGATCTAAGTAACCAAGACCATTTGGTTTAAGGGAGACTTGAGCTATACTTCCTCAGATTGTAGAAAAACTTCAAAAAGCTCTGCTATGCATTAAGTAGTAAAAATGAAATAAAACTTCTCACCGATTTTGTATGATCTGGTCTTGGAGCAATAACTGGAGGAGCCACTTCATCTTCCTCTTCCTCTTCAGTTGCTGTTGAGGGCTCTGACCTTTTTGCATTAGGCTATAAATTAGAGATTTTTTTAAAAAAAAAACAGATGTGGAAAATAAGTGAACTGAACTATAAAAGATTTATTTATTTATGAGGCCTATTTAAATTTTTGTTCATTATAAAAAGTATATGTAGTTGAAAACACTGCATGTAGTCCTCAACTTATAACCACAATTTTGGTTGCTAAGCAAAGTGGCTGTTAATGAGTCATGTCCAAATTTACTGCTTTTTTGCCACTGTTAAGCGAATCACAGCAGTTGTTAAACGAATCATGAGCTCATTATGCGACTCCAACTTCCCCCATTAACTTTCTCAGAAGCCGTCTGGGAAGATCACAAATGGTGATCACTTGGTCTCAGGACTCTGCAACTGTCGTAAATATGTGCAGTTTGCCAAGCCCCTGAATTCTGATCACATGACCTGTGATGATGTCATGGTCATATGTATAAGGACTAGTCATAAGTCAGATTTTTCAGTACTGCTATAACTCTGAACGGTTTATAAATGAATGTAAGTCAAGGTCTACCTTTATATTACAGTGCAATATATCATTTATTATTCCCATATGAAATGTTTATAACCAAAGGCACAGTATTATTGTTGCATTTCATGCCTGGGTAGAGAGAATACAGAACTCAAGATACATATATCCAAACTATGCAATCTATATATCAAAAATCTAATGTGCATAATTTATCCAATAAGGACTTGTGAACGAAGGAGTACTATATATATAAGCTGCCATAGAAATTGAACTTCAAAACATGAATGGCAACTGAAATCTGAAAGAGGAAATTAGGGTAAATGGATTTAAATCATTTTACTGGGCTTTTGTTTTTGCAGAAGCTAAAAGCTGATATTGCCACCTATCAAGAAACCATCTAACCTATAGAAGAGTTCCCACTTTTCTTTTGCTTTAGTTGAATTAATTTGTGAAACGTTAACATATAAAAAAAATAGTTTCCCATTAAATGATCTTGAAAGCACTATTGATGAACTGAACTTCTAATTAAAATGAATGAAATTATCTCTCTGATAACTAAATAGGTTGAAACACAGAATATCTGAAGCCAATTAAAATTACTGTGCAACAGGATTTCAATGACATGAAAGGAAACAATGTAAATGTACTTACTGCTATTGCTCCTGAAAGAAATCCATCCTTATCTAGAAAAAAAATATTTAACATGAACAAAAAAATTAAACTATTAATGCAGTAATGATAACACTCATAAAATGTAGTGAGATGATACACACCTTGTTCCAAAGAGAGTTCTGAACAAATTGAAATAAGGAGACAAGTCTAGCTTTTAGTTTTATTCCAGTATAATATGCTTGCAGTTAAAAAAAAGAAGCCCTACTTGATTCAACTATTTTCTAAAGAAGCAAAAGATGAGGAATGAAACCCATATTCTCTCTCCTGCACTATTACAATAAAATACAGAAGAATCTCTTGTCACAAACGCTTCTGACCATGACCAAATCGGGTTCCGACAAAAAAAATCCATAATTTTTTTTTCATGGCTGATTTCCCCTTCCACACCATTTTTTTTGTAAGCACTAAATTTCCAAAATTAGGTTCAGGTCACGACCAAAGTTATGGAACGAATTATGGTCGTGACCAGGGTTCTACTGTATCTATCAAACTGTTACCTGAAGAAATCAAACACAAATTCATACTCTTTCCATTTCATGATACCGGTACTATTCCCTTTAGTCTCCAAGGAAATTAAAAGTATTTCATAGTTATGCACAATTAAAAAAGTAAATCTTAATTGTACTTCAAATCAAGTTTATATTTAATGAAGTGCATTTTGGGCTGCCCTACCTTCATTAATTGAAAGAAGAAACTTGATCTGCAAATCATGTGCTGTTTCTAAAAGTTAGATCTGAGTATGTTTAGCCTACAGAATAAAGGGCTGAACAGAGGTATGATAGCAGTCTTCAAATAACTGAGGAGCTATTACCCAAAAAAAGAAAGAAAACTATTCTCCATTGCCCTAGAATCAGAATCAGACCAGAACTAATAGATTAAAATTCCAAGAAAGAAGGTTCGGGTTAGATCTTTAAAGACATTTCCTGACCGTACAAGTTGCAGCATGAAATAGTCTCCTTCATAAGAGATATTCAAAGCCTGGATAGTCAGTGAACCATCTAGTGGAATGTACACTGAGCAGGAAACTAGTCTAGATGATGTCTAAAATCCATTACAATTCTAAGATTCTATCACAAATCTAATAGAGTTAACTCATCCTTAAACCATGCATGGAGCTAGTAACTTTAGTTTTTAGATGGGCAGAGATCCCTACTTTAAATAAAAACAAACTCACATCAGCAATTGGTCTCTTCTTTCTCAAATGCCCTTCCAATTCTTTAAATGGGTAATAATTCATATGCCAATTACTAAAATCATCTCTCCAAAACAGCTGCACAGTTCTGGCAAAAGATACAGCTAAATTAAAAAATTGCAGACATATGCCACGTTCATTTTTTTGAAACACTCACTTCCTAATTATTTCCAAAATGCTAGAAAGCTCTGTTACACATAGATTTGCTCATTTATACCTAATAATGAGTTTAAAGTGCCCCATGAGTTAGCCCAAAGACATACCTGGAGCAGAAAAACTCAAATATTTCTGTTTTGCTGTGTCTTTAGAATCATAGAACTTCAAAACATCTAATACAGCCTGCGGATTTTTTTTCTGTTCTAATTTTGTGATGTTTGACGTCTGTAGCAGCCTAGCCCACTGCTCTGGCATTCCCTGGGGGGGGAAAAATAACAAATGCATGTATTTTAACACTGAAGTACAGAATTTATTATATCATATCCTCTCACAGAATTTATTATATCATATCCTCTCAAATGATAAATCTCCTTAGAATATTCTACTTGCTTAAAGGTACCAAGTACATGACTAATCTTTGGGTAAGGGGAAGAAGTATTTACTGAAATGTTTTAGTTCTGAAATGTATGAAAACTCTTGTAACAAAAAAGGTAAGACGTTCTAAGCATTAATTTCACACTGGCAGTATCCCAATGCACACTGCAAGGAGACAAGTTTAATATACTTACAGTGAATTCCCCAGTAACTGCATCAAAACCAACATGAATAGTATGTTCAAAATCTGATGGAGGAGAGATTTCAGGTCTCTCTTTTTCCTTTTTCCTACTCCCTATAAAGAAAAGAAAGCACATTTAGTTTCAGAATGGAGTCATCCTTTCTGAAGTTCAATTATTTTGAAGTTTTAATAAACCTGCTATTAACATTTAAAACATTATATACAGAAAATCACTAAATATAGAACTGCTCCACTATCCTAATATTCAGAAAGTCTTGAACCAGACATCAAATCAAATTTCAGCTGTCATAAATGAACACACTTTTAATTCTAATATCTATGAATCAAAACTTTTTGCTTCAAAAATATAAATGAATTTGCTTGTGGAACCATAATTTTTTCTATATTTTATTAAAAAGAAAGGCAAAAAACAAAACTAGCATAAAAAAAGCAACCAATGTCACCTGAAATTCTGATAGAAGCTATTAGTTTGTTGAGTGAAATCTGAGAGAGACAGACAGATGGCAATGGAGAAGTTTGGTCATGTAATAGATAGCTCCAGGTTTAGCAAACCTAGAAAGCAACAGCTCTCTCTTTGTAAAACTTCTCCAGGCACTTACTGAAAGCTGTTTACAAACTGAGTGATGAAAGAAAAGTCTCCATTATTAAAACAGTGATGCTCACTGGCTACAAACAAAACTGGTTATGCTCAATAATTAAAGATGTTGAAGTGTCTGTTAAATCTCAGAAATGGTCAAGAATTACTGAGTTTTTTTTTCCCCAGGGGTGTAATGCCATAAACTCTTGATGAACAGGGCAGCGACATCAAAGAAAACGGAACTGCCATGTGAATAGTTTACTGGCCCTTATTGCTCTTCATCAGATATTACTAATAACATTAATAAGAAGACTTCCAATATTCCAAATAGCCATTGCTGAGAGACAGCTAAACTCAGACTAGGGAAAAAATCCATGGACAATAGTATACTCACAAAACAATCATGTACATTAAGTATTCAGTCTGTATCAACAAAGCGCCTTACCAAGGCAACTTCAACCCCTTCCAGCCACATGACTTGGGAATCCTTATTGGCAAATGAAGCAATTTATATGAGGGCTTCAAGGATTCCTGTTTGCAAAAGATTAGAAAACCTTGGGAGAACATGAGGCTTTTAACAAATTTGCCATGAAGCTGTCATCTGATTTAACACTACTGAAAGAATTTCTATCTATTTCAAATGATCTACTGATGATCAGTGCTGTGGAGTCGGAGTCAGAGTCGAGGAGTTGGAGTCGGAGGAAATTTTGGGTACCTGGAGTCGGAGTCGGAAGTACAAAAAACTGAGGAGTCGGAGTCGGAACATTTATCTCCCGACTCCACAGCTCTGCTGATGATGTTTACCAATTTATTATCTTCATTCTCTACACACTTCTATTGTTTTGTTGATGAAGATTTCATTATATTTATTTTGTGGATTGTTATGAGCATTCTAGACTTTCTATATTAAATCGGCAGTCATATACATTTCCTACATAAATACATAAAGTATTTTGGGCTCCATCAACAGAAAGAGAGTTTCCAAATCATGGATAGTTCCACTTTATTTTGCATTTATCATATTCTCTAAATATAGTGTCTAGTTAGGCTTAACCCTTAAGAAGGATTAAGAGATGGGCAAGAACAATGATAGGGGACTAGAAACTAGCCTATAAAAAACAACTGAAGAAGCTGAGCTACTCCAGAGACTGGGGCAGTGACAAAAAAGGCATGTTTCCATAGTCCTGCAACATGATCTGAAAGAGGATCTGAAATGGTTCCATTCTACCAAAATGTACCAGGAGACAACTGAGACATATTTATGTACTTTTAAATTACAAATTCATTATTCATTATCACTCTAACAAAACCTAAAAAACAAGGCTGATAGAAACAGATACACAGAATACAGAATTGCTCACTTCTGTATAACAAAAATAAGTATTATTTTTGGAGTATAATGCAATTTTCCTTTCAGTTTTTCTCTTCAAAAAAACCAAACATCAACTATTTCACGAATATAATATTACAGGTAATCTTCAATTTATCATCAGTCACTTAGTGACAGGGGTGAAATCTAAAATTTTTCCCTATCGGTTCTGTGGGCGTGGCTTGGGGGGTGTCCTGTGACTGAGTGGGCGTGGCCAACTCGATGTCACTCACAGCCGCGCCGGCATGAACCAGAGCAGCTCATTCAAGAAGGAGAGTGAGTGATTCTGATACCTTTCGGGCATTTGCCTTCCCTGACAGCCAGCCGGGGGAGAAAGGTGAGCAGTAGGAGTCAGAGAATGCACCATTCCTCAACTCCGGCCTTGCCGCAGAGCTGCTGCCTGCTCGCCCTCCGCCATGCGTCTCCGCCCACCTGCCCCATTCCCTGGAGTCAGGGAATGCACCATTCCCAGACTCCTACTGCTCACCTTTCTCCCACCACTGGCTGTCAGGGAAGGCAAGCGCCCAAAAGGAAGTGGAGTCGCTCACTCTCCTTCTTGAATGAGCCGCTCTGGTCCACACGCCGGCTGCACAAGCGCACACCCAACCTGCCGCTGAATTAAATAAACGATGTGCACTTGCGCAGCCGGCGCGTGGACCAGAGCAGCTCATTCAAGCGTCTCATTCAAGCGCACATCATTTATTTAATTCAGCAGCACCTAACCTGGACCAGAGCGGCTCATTCAAGAAGGAGTGAGCGACTCCGCTACCTTTCGGGCGCTTGCCTTCCCTGACAGCCAGCCACGGGAGAAAGGTGAGCAGTAGGAGTCCGGGTATGGTGCATTCCCCGACTCCGGAGAATGGGGCAGGTGGGCGGAGCCTCCAGCTGCCATTGGTGGTTCTCTGAACCACCAGCCATCATCGCTACCTATTCACCCGAGCCGATCCGAACCAGGAGCATTTCACCCCTGCTTAGTGACCATTCAAAGTTATGACAGACACCCCCTCTCCAAAAGCTACTTATGACCTAGTTTTAAAGTTATGGCTGCTGCAATGCCCCTGCAATCATTCACGCTTATAATAGATTACAGGGAAACTGCAGCAGCCCCCACAACTGATTTCTCCAACCAATCCCGCTCTGCCAGCTTCACATAGGCCTTGGGCCTGCTTCCCACCCAGCTACTCAGGGGAGCTTCAGGCTGGCTGCAGTGCACCCAAATCTATTGCAATTTGCAGGCTTGGAGTTGCTTCCCACACAGCCATTCACAGGAGCCTCAGGCCTGCACTAGGCATCCAGGATCTCCCCTACACAAGGCTCCCCATGCTCTACTTAACATCATCATCAGGGTGAGCAGAGGTGGGGGTCATTTACCGAAGTGATCATGTGCGTGCCTCGCTTAATGACCATCACAACTTGCAACTGTAATGGGCAAGTCTCACTAGAGTCATAACTCAAGGACTACCTGTAATGGCAACTTTCCCTTTTTTACTTTTTAATATTTGGAAAAGGAAATTCTTCCCTTTGTTTTGAGGAAGCATTAATCAGCATAATTTATTTAACGTATGGAGTTGTTACATTAGTCAGGAGGCTACAGCATTAATATAAAGTAGTTGTTTGGCTGCTGCTGATTGCTAATCCCTTTAGTTCATGCTTGTACACTATCCAGAATGCACACCACCAGTATCACCTCACATTTGGGCAGGTTAGGCATCAGTTTTATTTGTGTTGCCACTCAAAGCACCATTTTTTCCTACTGAAGTGGTACCAATTTATTTACTTGTATGTAACTTGCTTTTGAATTGCTAGTTGGCAGAAGCTGAGATAAGTAACGGACGTTCACTGTCATGCAGTGCTAGGAGTACTCAAACTGGAGTATAGACTGTCTCCATCGTCATTAAGCCACTGAGCCACCACACTTCACATTAGCTAGCAAAGCAATGATAAATGAATTCTCACTCTCAGTTTATCTGCCCTGCTAATTTAAATCTATTTTTAAACTTCATAAAACGACTGTTTTCCTGTTAAATACTTAAACAGTGTATTATGAACCCATACATTCACCTCCGTGAATATATGTATCATAAGTAATTTTTAAAAGATCCAGAATGCACTATAGTAGTTTATTTGTTGTATTTGTGTCTCCCAGAAGCACAATGGTGCAATGAAATTCAAATGGAATATTATTATACAATCAAACAATTGCAACATTTTACCTTTTTCAGTGCTAGAGAAAATGGAGATGATTTTGTTCCTAGGCTTTCTTTCTTCTGGTACCGAAGGCAGAGGTTTCAAGCTATGATTAGCAGATAAAGGATCTTTTCCTCCTGAACTGAAGATAGTACTGCTCATCCGAACGGGTGGAGCTGGTGGCTTGTCTTCGAGCTCTCCGTTGTCAGACATAATTAATGACTAGACACTGCTCTGAAATTAAACAGCAAAAACTTTGTCACCAGATTCCTTAGTGCATTCGAATGTTTATTCCTATCCCATATTAATTTTAAAAAATTACTGAACAGACTTAATGTTTATTACTATTGAATCATACATTCCAATGCCATGATAAATAATTCAGCTTGGCTATATACATTTTTACTGTCCAATATTATAACTAGAAAATGGATAATTCCACAAAACAGCAATTAACAGAAATATTACATGTAAAAACAAAAGAAAACATTCTTACATTTTTCAGGTAAGCAAGTGGAACTCAAGAAAGAGATAGCTAGATTTTTCAAAATCAGAAATGCAATGACTAATGATTGAAGCATCACAAAAGCTCTCCAAATAAATGAATAAACAAATACTGCAAAATATTTACATCAGGAGCAAGAGATCAATTCCAGGAAAGTTCTATATATATATATCAAATGAAAAGCCCACCTTGCTGAAATCTAATCAAGTAAACTAACAATTCTCGCGCCCCCCCCCCCCATACCATTGCTTTTAACATATCTGGAAAGGAGGCTTTTCAATTTTAAAAAAAAGTTAAGTCCATTTAGCAATCTCATCCCTCACCAATCTGCAAATGAACAAGATCAAAGTCAATTAATAGAGTTTGAAGTACTTAAGAGTAAAAGGCATTTTGGTTTCAATCTGAAAAGATGTTCCTTTGTTATTAAGGCTGGTGAGACTTTTTTAAAAAAATACAAAGTGGTAACAATTCTTTAAGAAGAAAAGCACAACATTTAAAAACTTTTTACAGTTCAAGTGACTGTTCAGCAATTTCAACTTGATACAACTTTCACTTTGCATTCCCAATATCAGAAAGTTAATATTGTAATTTCATTAAACTTATACAAAATATAATAGGTACAGGCTGTCCTTGCTAAATGCCCATTTCTTCAGCAACTGTTCAAAATTGTGACATTGGAAGGAAGGGATTTACGACCAATCCTCAAAGTTTCAGCAGTTACAGCCCTCCTGCAGTCATATGAATGAAATTCAGATCCACTCGGCCCACCCACATTTATAACAGCTTCCTTGCTGCTCCCCTACTTACTGATATCAGGTACCCCCATCACCCAGCCCTGCCCACTGCTACCTGGTGCACTACTGTTTCAGCTGGGGCTTCTTCACATTGCCTTCTTTCTGTTGGTGCCGATATTTCACTTGCATTCCAGACAGGGCCTCCATTCACACCCTGTCCAAGGTTTCTGTGTGCTAGCCAGGTCATTCTTTACAACAGAAAAACCCAGCAAGAAGGGTCCATCTTTTGTAGGAGTGGTGCAGCCAGGGCCTTTTTTCACATGCTTACCTTGAAAAAAGCAGATGTGCAAAAGAAGGCCCCAACTGTATTGGTATGTAAGTAGGAGGGTCCTTCTTTTACACAGGTGCAGTTAGAGACTTCTTTCATATGCCTGCCTTCCACAATATTATGAGAAGACTGCATGAAATTTCAGCAAGAAGCAGGTACGGTTTCAGGAAGAAGGCCCTACACAATCAGGAGCTGCCTCATGAAGGCCAAGCATGCCACAAATCAATATCTTAAGTCTACACTCAGCAATATCCCAGAATTTTTCAGGGGAAGGCAGCCTTTTTCAGATATACAGACTATACTCAGCCTTGTAAATTATGTCAAGGCCATAACTACATAATTCCCCTCTGTTATTAAATTATGTCATTATCAATAAGCATTAACTTTATGAAAATCTTAAACTAAGCACAGTGATTCTCTTAGTCAGCTGTAACTGTGTCTCCTTGTACCAGTTACAACTCTGTTGTAAGGACAACAAAGTCTCCAGACTCCAGTGCATTTCCATCAGGGAAATTCCTACTAAAGTTAGCATTCCAGAGGAGGAGAATCCAGGTAATTTTTTAGTTTCCAGACTCCAGAAGAAATTTTACATTTCACAGAAAGACTAGTAACCATTTATTACTGTAGCTTCAAATGTGCATGATAGTAAGGGAAGAAGTATACAAATCAAATTGGAATAGGGGGAGCTTGCTTGCTTTGAGGAAAATTATTCAAGATGAGAATGCCCACTACCCTGCTTGTTCTACCTTATTTGTTTGATTCATGACTTGTAGAAATCCTCTTGTTCCCCACAGCTGCTTTCCTTCTGTTGGTTTCTCTGGCCAAGTCTCCCCACATACTAACACAAACTTAGAAAACTAGTGTTATTTATCTGTAGTGGAATTTTTATAAATTAGATATTTTTAAAAATTAAAACATATTTTAAATAAAAAATCAACATACAATCAAAATGAAATCATTTTTATTCCTCATAAAGAAAAGCTAACTCATTTGAATTGGTCCTTTCAAAGCCCAATAAGCAATATGATTTCCGATTATAAATAACACATTCACCTAACATTGGGCATATTAATTTAAGTGTAAAAAATAGTTTAATCTTCAAAGATATAAATAGCTCAACACAACACATACAATTTATACAAATTTATGAAAATATTAAAGGCAAACATGTTTTAATTAAATCCAGCTTGAAGTGTTGTTCATGTTGCATATTAAATGTGAGCCAAATATGGTGACATAACAAATCCTACTTAAAAATGATCAAGTTTATATAAACATATCTAAAATGAAATTTAATATATTTTCTATTACCATATACACCTTCAGGAAAGTCATAACTCTTCCTTCGAGCATTAGGGCTAGCATAAGAATGCAGCCTGATATATGTGTTTGGTATTGTGAGTTCTTTATGGAAACCTTAGTTGTAGCATTTTGTTGTGTTTAACTGTATTCTATGTTTTCTTATATTGGTTTTTAATTAAAGTACATTTTAAAATGTACTGTGTGATAGATATCCAGAATTACTTAAGATAAACAGCCAATTAATTTTCTAAATAAATGGACACCTTGGAGGAGTGGATGAGATGAATAAACTTAATTAGCCAATATATTATAAAAGGTTTTCTTTTCCTGATTTAGCAGAGGAAACTGTAAAATTGCACATCTAACTTATCCTATCCTTATATCAGATAGTAATGAAAAAAAAGAAAAGCCACAATTTCCTAAATAATGTCTTTACCATAGCCAACCATAGGAATAACCATGCTTAATTGTTACTGGAATTACTTCAGATATGCACTGTTTGTAAATCGCTTAGAATTGCCTTATTGGTGAAATGGGTGGCATATAAATTAAATAAATATACAAGCTCTTTACACTTCTGTATTTCAAAATTTTCCTAGAAAATTGGTGAAGGAAATGCTATCTACACAGCCTTCAGCTACTGGTGAAAAACCAAGACAGAAATGTAAGGAATAAATACTTCTTTCAAATCATTATAAGAATACATCTTACTTACATTTCTGTACTTTAGAGCCAAAGTGCTTCAGGGGGGTATATATATCAGTCCTGTTAAAGAAAATCCATTTTTCTGGTTTTTCGTGAAAGGCTAGAGTTCGGAGGAAAAGGAGTAGTAGACTGGATCAGACAAGGTGCTTTAGAATTAGTCTCTGTTGGTATTTCCTTAATTCAAATGAGTATTTCCTGAGATCATACAACTACCATGCAATCTAGGAAAAGGCAAATGTTACTAATGAAGGCACTAAACCAGGGGTCTGCAACCTTAAACATTCAGAGAGTCATTTGGACCCATTTCCCACAGAAAAGAAATCACCAGGAGCCACAAAACCTGGGTGGGCGTGGCCAACTTGATGTCACTCATTCCCACCCAGACACATGACACACACACCCCCAGCCATGCTTACCCAGGTTTTGTGGTTCCTGGTGTTTTCTGTAGGAAACAGGTATTTCTCCCCCCCCTCTCTGTTTCTCTCTGTGTGTTTTGTGTGTGTTGTGTGTGTGTGTGTGTGTGTGTGTGTGTGTGTTTTCTCTTAAACCATTTCCAAAAACAGGTGAGGGTTGGTGGGTTGGGGTTTTTTTTGCTGATGTTGTTCTTTCTTCTTCTTTGGGTGCTTTTTACCATATTTAAATCAGGAGTCATTTCAGGTTCCCAGATAAATGAACCTTTTTCGTCCCCCTATTGTGGCTACCTGTCAGCTGAACCCACCACTGGCTGGCCCGACCCCTCACCCTCCCAGTCACTCCTTGCCTGGCCTGAGAAGGTAAGGGCGACGGCAGGCAATGGAGACTCGCTCCATATTCCAGAGCGCAATCAAAGCGCCCCTGTACTTGCCATATCTTGCAGGCGCTTCTTCCAGCCCTTGTTGGTGCTGCGCAAACCTTGGTCGCTCAGGGAGACACGTGACTTGCTCTCTGCTCTGAGACACTGGCTTGGCCTGGCTGCAGCCGATGCTGCTGCTGCCACCTCCATAGCCTACCCACTGCTCTCACAGCACCTTGCGCAGCACAGTTAAATTTAGCGTGCTTCACAGTGAGGGAGACAATGTCCCCTCCTCCTCCTGGAGCCCATTACAATGCAGAGCATCGGCTGCAACCAGGCTAGGCCAGTGTCTCGGGGCGGAGAGCAAGTCGCGCATCTCCCCGAGCGACCGAGGTGTGCACAGCACCAAGGGCTGGAAGAAGCACCTGAAAGATATGGCAAGTACATGGGTGCTTTGCTCCCGCTCTGGAATATGAAACAAGTGTCCATCCCCCGCCGTCACCCTTACCTTCTCAGGCCAGGCAAGGAGTGACTGGGAGAGGAGGGCAAGGGGCGGGGCCAGCCAGTGGTGGGTTCAGCGGATAGGGAGCCACAGCAGGGGGATGAAAGAGCCGCATGTGACTCCAGAGTCACAGGTTGCAGACACCCGCACTAAACCATATGGCATATGCACCCATCCTCATATCAAGAAAGCTGGAGACCATGAGTTCTAGTTCCACCTTAGGCATGAAAGCCAGCTGGGTTACTATGGGCCCTAAGCAAGCAAGCCCCTTTTTCAGCTTTGGAGCCAATACAATGGACATCCCTAATCCCACTACCACTCATTTTAAGGAAAGTTTAAAATAAGTTCAACATTTAATGTAGTAAACAATAAAAAAAGTTCAGAACCCTTCAAAAATATCATAAATTCTTTACTAATATTCCCAAGTAGGAAATAAATGATCTGATAATTAATTAACTTAGTTTTCCTACTGAATAGTATTCTTATTGCGTGTCTTGGAATTGGGTCTTTTATTTTGATAAAATTACAGTTAAATCTAAAACCAAGGATTTTCTTGCTCATGTTTGAAAAGACAGTATTTTTAGAAGACCGAAGATAAATATGAGCTAGTTATAATGGCTCCAGACAGTAGATAATTAGTACTTAACCTAGGTACACTATCATAAAGCTGATGGCTTGTTATACAAGTGTTTCAAACAAAGGGAAACATTGCCTCCACAAAGCAAAAAAACAACCCAGCAGAGCAATGGAAAAGGATAGTAATTCCACACCCTCACACATACATTGTTACTGCCAAAAAATCAAGAACATTCTTCAGGAAGAGTGCCAAGGTAAAGCTTTCAAACTTGAGTGAGGCAAGGAACTACTTACACTATAAAACATCAGCTATATAAAGGAAGCTGTTTTTTCTCAGTGGTTCGAAAAAACTCCAACTGTTTTTTCTTAGCAAGGTACCACCACAAGAGAATTTAACTTTACAAAGGTTTCTAATATTATTCACAAAATCTACTTTACCTTAACTATTTGGATCAAAGAAAATGATGTAAATAATCCATCTGAAATTAAATCCTCGTGTTTTTTCCCATTGATCAAACTTTGCTCATTATACTCAATGTGTAAATTAAAGGTTAGAGAACTATGCCAAGTTCTAATTGAAGCAGCATATCAACTATTTCCTCCTGGCATTTGAAACTCCAATAAATGCTCCTCTCCTGACTCAGAGCCAACAAAGGGTATTGTAAGCAAATCACCAAATATGTTCTGGGTCTTTTCCCTCTAGGTACAGGTCAGAAATGAATGACAAAAATGTATTTTAGATGAAGCAATTATCTCCTTTATTTAGAGTTCTGAGGCTAGCTATTTGGGAAATCTAAACACTGCAAAAAAATTATGGCTTGGCTTCTAACAGAACTAGTTGTTAGTAATTACACCTTGGACTTTCTATCATCATCCAGGTGCAATTTAGAATGTAAAAAAGTGACCTACTGCAACGATGAGAACTCACGTCTCTCCACACATTGCTGAACTACAAATCACTGATGGAGGTTTCAGGGGTATAGTTTAGCTCTATCCGACTGGTTTTGTCTTCTGTTCCAAACAGATTCCTTAATTTCCAACAATTCCCAATATTCATGGTAGTTTTATACTATAAAAACACCTCAAACACTGAATTAGCAAATACTGAACCATTACTCCTAAGGGAAATATAAGGTTAGGTTCCCAGATAGCTCTGGATTCATCATTTTTATAAACTACCGTATTTTTCGGTGTATAAGACACACTTTTTTTTTACCCCCAAAAAGGGGGTGAAAATCTGGGTGCGTCTTATACTTCCCAACGGGAAGAAAAGCATTTCAAGCAGAAGCGCTGCAATCTCCTCCCCGAATCCAAAATGGTTCCCAGTTCCCCGCTGCACATTGCAGAGGAACTGGCCATCCGCCACCTAAAACACGGCTCTGATTATTGCGTTGGGGAATTCGGGCAGCGGTGGCTGGAAAGGAGGGGCGTTTTTCTTTAGGAGCTCTCATTCGGCTCACTCAGCTCCTGCGCACGGAGGGCTTAGGCGGCAGCTCCTACATTGCAGGGGAGTGAAGTCATTGTGGCCATTGCCTGCCCTAAGCTGCCTGCTGGGCGGCCAGAGGGGTGACCAGCCGCAAATCATGGCACCCGCTTTGTTCCCCGAAGCTGCCAGGCAGATTCCCCCCAGACCGTTCCAAAATGCTGGTAGGCAGAGGTAGAATTCTTGTTTTCTTGATTTCCTCCCCCAAAATTAAGGTGTGTCTTATACTCTGGTGCGCCTGAAACACCGAAAAATACGGTAATCAATATAAAGGAGAATATTTGTAGCTCAGGGTTGATGAGAGCTCCTTGGTGCTCTCTGAGCTTGCTTGTTTTCTTGCAGATGTTTCACTACCCAAACTAGATAACATCATCTGTGCTGGT